TAACCCTAGCCAGGCTGTTAAGTCTAACATCCTGGGAATATAAATGCTCCCTATTCAACTTTATATTTGGAACTCTACCATGACCCCCTTTCCCCACTGTGAAGCACTGTCAATATTTAGGCCCTGCATATTCTCCCAGCCCCCGCTGGTAGTGTCAGCTAAGTTCTGCAGTTTTGGGGTGGGGTATATTCCTCTCCCTGCCTTATTAGATCTATAGGTCTCTGATTGGGTTGATTTAACCCTTTTTGTTAGCTGGGTTTCTGAGAGGGGAGTGGTGATAGATCCTGAGGACTGCAGGTGTTGTCTTGAGAGAGAGATTGTTTCACTGTCTTTAAGCAAAGCAGGGGGCACACAAGTCCTCCTTAGAGTAGAGGGTGGACACTTCTGTAGCCTCACAAACTTCAGGAAACCAGAAGATTCAAGATTTTCATGTTTAGGGCTGTGGTTGTAGCTCAGTGGTAGAGCACTTGCCTCACAAGTGTAAGGCACTGAGATACTGGGTTCAATCCTCAGCACCACAAACAAATAAAACGAAGGTATTAAAAAAAAAGATTTTCAGGTTCATCAACTTAGATGGTTCCTCCTGTGTCAAAGTTCCATTTTTATCAAGCAGGGCCCTTACCTTACCATATCAGACCTGCTGAAGTTGGGTTTTACCTTCTTGGTACTTCTACTAGTCTCACAATTTAGCACTGGGTCTGGTCCCAGCTTTCTCTCCACTGGCTTCAAGAGCTGAGATTCTCATTATATGCTACCATGGAGGTTTTCACACTTGCTCCTACCTGCCCATAAATCACTTTTGTTCATCTTTTTCCAAAGTATCAGGTAAGCTTAACAGCAGTCCATTGGTTTCACTGTTCTTTGCTACCAGTTCTCTTTGGATTTCTCAACCACCTGTGTAAACCAGTACATGCCCTTCTGCTGGCATGCCATCCCAGTTCACTACTGGTGAAGGTTTTAACTGCACTGTCATAGTATACTAGGGGTTATGTGTTCTATCTACCACCAGTCAGGGGGTCTCATCCTGTAAATCAGAAGACAGAACCGGGTATAAAATTCCAAGGAAGAATCCTTCCCTCCCTTCCTTCTTTCATATTTTGGATTGGAAGATTTGTTTATTTGCCTTTATTAGTTTTACTTTCAACTTTTTTTGTTTTTCTTTTTCGATATACATGACAGTAGAGTGTATTTTGACACATTATACATACATGGAGTATAACATTCTAATTAGGATACTATTCTTGTAAAACCATACATGATATGGAGTCTCACTGGTCCTATATTCATAAGTGAACACAGGAAAATTTGTGTCTGATTCATTCTACTGTCTTTCCTATTCCTATCCCCTTTCCCTTCCCTTTATTCCCCTTTGTCTAATACAATGAACTTCTATTCTTTCCTCCCCTGCCCCTTATTGTATATTAACATCCATATATCAGAAAGGACATTTGGCCTTTGTTTTTTTGGGACTGGTTTATTTCACTTAGCATGATAGTCTCCAGTTCCATCCATTTACTGGCAAATGTCATAATTTCATTCTTCCTTATGGTGAGTAATATTACATTATGTATATATAGCACATTTTCTTATCAGTTCATCTGTTGAAGGGCACGTAGATTGGTTCCATAGCTTAGCTATTGTGAATTGAGCTGCTCTAAACATTGAGGTGGCTATGTCACTGTAATATACTGATTTTAAGTCCTTTGGGTATATATTAACGAGTGAGATAACTGAGTCAAATGGTGGTTCCATTCCAAGTTTTCTGAAGAATCTCTGTACTGCTTTCCAGAGTGGTTGTACAAATTTGCAGCCTCATGGGCAATGTATGAGTGTACCTGTTCCCCATCATCCTCACGAACATTTATTATTACTTGTATTCTTGATAATTGTCATTCTGACTGAAGTGAGATGGAATCTCAGTGTGGTTTTAATTTGCATTTTTCTAACTCCTAGAGATGTTGAACACTTTTCATATATTTATTGACTGATTGTATATGTTCTTCTGTGAAGTGCCTGTTCAGTTCCTTTGCCCACTTATTAACTGGGTTATTTGGGGGCTTTTTTTTTTTGGTGTTAAGTTTTTTGAGTTCTTTGTATATCCTGGAGATTAATGCTCTGAAGTGCAGGTGGCAAAGATTTTCTCCCATTCTTTAGGCTGTTTATGTTCTTGATAGTTTCCTTTGTTGTGAAGATGCTTTTTAGTTTGATACCATCCCATTTGTTGATTCTTGATTTTGCTTCTTGCGCTCTCAGTCTTGTTGAGGAATTCTGTTCCTAAGCCAACATGATGGAGAGTTGGGCCTCCATTTTCTTCTAATAAGCATATGATCTCTGGTCTAATGCCTAGGTCCTTGATCCAGATTTTTTTTCCCTTTTTATTAGCATGCCTTTGTTTATTTTTGTGAGGTGCTAATGATTGAACCAGTGCCTCATGTGTGCCAGGCAAGCACTCTGACACTGAGCTATAGCCCCAGGCCCCACAGAGTTTTGTGCAGGGTGAGACATAGGGATTAAATTTCATTCTACTACATATGGATTTCCAGTTTTCCCAGCACCATTTGGTGAAGAGGCTATCTTTTCTCCAATGTATATTTATGGCACCTTTGTCTAATATGTGATAACTGTATATATGTGGATTTGTCTCTGTCTTCTGTTCCATTGGTCTTCATGTCTGTTTTGGGCCAAGACCATGCTGTTTTTGTTACTATAGTTCTGTAGTATAATTTAAAGTCTGGTATTTTGTTACAATAGCTCTGCAGTATAATTTCAGGCCTCTTACTTCACATAAAAATCTGCTTTCTTGCAGAACTTCTGGTTGCAAGTTTTGTTGTCTGAGAAGCCAACTTTGAGATGGATGTTAGTGCACAGATTAGTGATTGCCACCTGTGCAGAGAAAGGAAGCTCCATTGGGCAGAGGGAGAACATAGGCAATGTTGCAATCTTAAAGGCAGTCTCAGCTGACCTTATTGGAAACTCTGAAGCCAGGATGGGCTTTTGGATTGTCCAAATATGGGGCCATGGGATTAGTCTTCAAAGGCAGGCTGCCCCAGAAATGAGAGTGCCTTCATGAGGTGGCTCTCTCCAGTTAAGGAAATTATAAAGAGATTTGGCAATTGAGGTCTGTTAGCAGCACTCCCACAAGCAAGGGAACTAAATTTTCTAGCATGGAGAATCTGAATGGCATATCGCAGTACGCCCTGTGAGCAGGGGAGTGGATGCAAGGTAGGTAAACGCTGTATCTCTAAATACTGTGATAGTGTCGGGCACATTGGTGCTTAATAAGTAATATTAGTATTAAAAACATATTGGGGGCTGGGGATGTGGCTCACCTGGCATGCGCAGGGCACTAGGTTCGATCCTCAGCACCACATAAAAAAAAAAAAAAAAAAAAAAGATGTTGTGTCCACCAAAAACTGAAAAATAAATATTAATTCTCTCTTAAAAACAAACATATTGGGTTATTGCTGTTTATTTATTACTAATTCACTGGTTTCTCACTGACTGGAGGCCTAGCATAGGTGAGAACTAATGCTATAAGGATGACAGTAGCAGAATTACCTGTTTAGCCTCTTCAGGAAACTCATTTAAGAGGTACAACCTGCCAGTCACAGTGACACAATGCCTGTAATCCTAGCAGTTTGGGAAGCTTAGGCAGGAGTAGCATGAGTTCAAACCCAGCCTCAGCAACTTTGTGAGATCCTGTCTCTAAATAAAAACTTAAGGGTGGGGATGTGGTTTGGTTGTTAAGAGCCCCTGGGTTCAATCCCTGGTAGCAAAAAAAAAAAAAAAAAAAAAAAAGAGGCACAACCAATTAAAGAGACCTAAAAGAGGAGTTAACAAAAAGGTATTTTAAAGAATACCTAATGGTCCTAGAAAGTCTAGTTGCCCTGACAGAGAGGACATTTGAATAGTATCTAAGAACATGTTTTCTCTGCACAGAGAAGCAAAGAAATAAAGGCAGCAGGAAGAGCTTGGCTTCTGGGCACTCACTTTATCAATATATTTGAACTGTGGACAATAAAATTAAATTATTCTTTCCCACACTTGGGCCTCATCCAAGAATCTTCTTCCATTGCCTTATGAAATCTTCACCCAGTTTATCCTCTTCAAAGTTAATATTTCACTACACAGAACATACTGTTATCTCTAGACAGAGATTCCAGAGCATTCACAAAAACCCAAGATTAGTCCAATCTTAAAAACCACAAGATCCTGTTTATGCCTAAACTTTGCCAACAGTCTTTAACTCATTCCTTAACCTCACCAAAAAAGTACCTAAATTTCCATGATGTAATTGATATATATGTACCTTGTAATGTGAAACTATGTTGAGTGCTCTTTAGAACTTCAAATAAGTTACATGTACTAGTTTTCTTTTGTAATGTAGTTTCATTATTCTTAAAGGGTTCCAATCAGGTATGATTCTTTTCCAAAATCCTGCTCTATCTTATCTATTGTTAGATTAACACTTGAGATAGTCAAAACTTCCTGTCATCATTCATAGCTTGCTTTCTCTATCTACATGGCTCTCCTGAGCTCTGGACACAGGGCCAAAAGACTTCCTTCTCATTTACAAAGCTTGCACTAGCTGGCACTGACAGATGAGACTTGAGGTGTCACAGATGGTATATGAAAATATGGAGGGTAAAATCAAAATTTGTGAGACTTACCTTCTATTAATCACTCACTGTTTTGTTTCAAATATTCTTATAACGGAATTGAATGAACTGGAAAGGTTCTGGGGTTGTCTGGTAATGCCATTAATGATTTTTCAACTACTACTTCATCTAAGAATGGTTATGTCAAGGCAAAATACAATGTTGCATATGCTTACAGAAAATAAGGAAGTGATTTATCACATATATATTTTGCTTAGGCTACAGGTTCTTTTACCTTTGACTTTTTGAGTTATATAAATAACAAACTATCCATATTAAAATATTATTTATAAGACTGGGCCAAAGTCAAGTCAGTAGCTCTTTAATAAAATGAGCAGAACCTCATTATAACAACAGCTCTTTATTACATGGTTTCAAATACACAGGAGACCAATCATGTTCCCTGAAATTTAACAATCACATTCAGTAAAAGTCTGTTAATGCCATCTCTCAACATCTAAACCTAAAAGGGGCTTCCTTCAAATTCCCGTTAGGAAGCCTTGCGCAAAAAAAAAAAAAAAAAAAGAAGTTGTTTAAGCACCAGTAAGACTGTTGCTAGCAGTAGTTTTATTTCTTTTTCTTCTTCTTCATCATCATTATCAAACATGCAGTTTCTTCCTCCCATTTGCCTGGCCCTGCTCTGCTTCGTGGTACAAAGTTTATAAAAACAATATACCAATACAAAGTTGAAGCCATTAAAAAGAGCTTAGTAATAACTACCAGGAGATAATTAAATCTGGAGTGTTGATGGAATCCGAAGAGATGTGGAAACAACACACAAACTCAAACAATACAGTAGAAGTTTTACTGGGGAAGGAGTGACGGAAACTTTTTATGTGCTACTGAAGGACTTTCTAAGATGCCCTAAGTTTACTTTCTTTCTGCTATTATCTTTAAATACTGCAAAGCATTGTGGGCGGCATCACTCTGTGCATTGCCACAGGAGATGCCGGAGCCATGACAGACTGTGATAGGACTGGTTGACAGTTCGGCGAGACACTGATACTGCCCATTTGCACTCAGTTCTTCTGTAATGACACAAGCAAACATGATGATTAGTGCCAACTGTAGAAAGCAGATCCTTTATAAAAACAATCTTTTTTTTTGTTGTTTTTTTGGTCTTTCTCACCCATGGTACACTATTTCATTCATTCATCATTTCTGTCATGCTTGTGTAAACAAAAAACATAGAATGAGTCAGGTGCAATGGTACACGCCTGTAATCCCTGCAACTCAGGAGGCTGAGGCAGGAGGATCACAAGTTCAAGGCCAGGTTGGGGAACTCAAAATTAAATAAAAAAGGCTGGGGATGTAGCTCAGTGGGAGAGCACTTGGGTTTAATCCCCAGCTTCACAACAGAAATGGTCGTTCAGTCATAGCAGTTCTCAAACATACTGCTTCAAACCATCTGACAGAACTTCAAAGAAACACAGGTGTTTAGGACTCAATGCTAGCCCATTCTATCAGAAGCATGGGGTTGGGGCCGGAGGTGGCTGGCTCCTGCATTTCAAGGAAGCTCCCAAGCAACTCTAATGTGACTTTTTGAACGAGGCTTGGAAAGCACTGTACTAATAAGCAACTTTCTTAAGAGGGAAAGAACCATTTGCTAGAGGACTAGAGAGGCTGTTTCCCATTGGAAGTCATTTTCAGTAGGCATTTCAACAAGAAAAGACCTGGTTCAGGGAAAGACCTCTCTTGTGCCTTCCTATTTTTAGGGTTTAAGTCTGTGCAATCTCAGTTATGGTGTTTTAAAAACAACACTTAAACCCAGGAAATGCACATTCTTCTCATTCTTCTGAAGATGGTAAAATGAGGCAAGAGTTCTTAAGAAGTAAATTTATGACTTATTCATTCAAAGTGGTCATGATTAAATGTTTCTATTTTAGCTAGTCAATTTAGTGAAGAATATCCAGATAAAGTGAGATTATTTAGTGAGTGAAGAGACTTTTTTTTTTTTAGTTCTACCATCTTTTTAAATTTAAGGAAAATTCACATAAAACCAATCATTTTAAAATAAACAATTTAGTGGCACTCAGCAGATTTATAGTGAGGTCCAAGTAGTCCCTCTAGCCAGTTTCAAAACATCTTCATCACCCCAAGAGGACATCCTGAACTCCTTAAACTGTTACTCTCCATTCCCTCTTCCCCAATCCTGGCAACCAACCATCTGTGTTTAATGTCTATGGATTACCCTTCTGTGGGCAGTTAATATAAACAGAATCATAGAATATGTGCAGCCTTTTGTTTCTGGCTTCTTTCACTCAGCATGTTTTTCACTATCTTCTATGTTGTAGCACATATTAGAACTTTATTCCCTTTTACAGCTGAATAATATTCTATTGAATGGATATTCCACATTTGTTCATCCATTCATTTGTTGGTGGACAATTGGACCATTGCCACTTTTGGCTCTTGCAAATAGTGCTTCTGGGAATATGTGTGTACTGGTTATTTGTTTGAATACCAGTTTTCAATTCTTGTAGGTTATATACCTAGGTGTGAAACTGCTGGCAATTAATTTAAGGAACTAAGACATTTTCCCATGGTGGCTAAATTATTTTACATTCCATCAACAATGTATGAGATTCCAATCTCTTCATCATCAGACACTTGCTATTTTCCATTGTTTTGACTATATAGTGTGCAGTGGTACCACACTGTAGTTTTGACTTGCAATTCCCAGTTGAGTAATGATGTTGAACATCTTTTCATAGGTTTGTTGGTCATTTATCTATTTTCTTTGAAGATAGCTGCCTAAAAGTTAGCCAAAAGCTTGTTTATACACACACACACACACACACACACAACTTTTTTAATGTAGTGCTGAGGATCAAACCCAGCACCTCACATGTGCTAGGCGAGTGCTCTACAGCTGAGCCACAACCCCAGCCCCTTGTTCTACATTTATAAGAATGATTTAGTTCTTAAAATTCATAAGAGTTTCAAAGGAATTAATTCACGATCCAAAATATCCATCTCAAATTTCCTTCTTTTCAGAGATTCTGTATCTTCCATAGTTAACTCTATTCGTGACATAGCTCATTTATCTCTGTATCCCAAACTCTCAACAAACTACAAACATCAATAAATATTTGCTAAATGAGTGGATTCCCATCAGCCATCTCTCCTGACCATCTTTCTTCATTAATTTTCCCGGTTCTGCATCATTCTTGGCTTATCAAGACACTGCATGACTCATCATTTAATTCCAAAGTAGCAGAGAATATCAGAAGTTCTCTCATCCCCTGACCACTCTAATTTTCCAGTGCTAGTATCTCTGACAGCTGAGTTCCTACATCTCACTGAGAGTGGAGTAGGGATATCAAATTCTTCACTTGTTATGCTGATATTAAATCAAGATACCAAATGTGTGACATACACATACACACAACTAGCTTTACAAATTGAATTAAAATAAAATCTACACTGACTTGCTTTCTCATTTGTCCATATTTGTCTATATAAAAGACCACAAATTAAGGAAAATATAATAGATGATAGCTGGGATGGAATAAAGTTACAAATTGACTTTTTCCCATTTACTGCCGAGAAATGGCACTCAGTGATTAAGTGGACACATGGTTTGGCCCACACAGACTTGATACTTGTACTACAAATGGGAGTGCTTTTTAATTGCCAAATGCCCGACAGACCTAGTATAACAGCCAGTGAATATGCTGGAACTCTTTCCCTAATTTTCTTTTCTTTTCTTTTTTTTTAATCTTTTATTTTTTTGGTATGAGGGACTGAACCCAGGAGCACTTAACCACTGAGCCACATCCCCAGCCCATTTTATTTTTCATTATAAGACAAGAGTCTTACTAAGTTGCTTATGGCTTACTAAGTTGCTGAGGCTGGCTCTGAATTTGTGATCCTCCTGCCTCAGCCTTCTGAGTCAATGGGATTACAGGTATTCACCATCATGTCTGACCCTCTTCCCCTAATCTTGTTCTACCACTGGCTAGTTATGTGGTCTTGGGTCAGTTTCTCAACCTTTCTCTGCCTTACTTTCTTCAATCATAAGTAAGAATAATAGAATTCACTTCAGAGTTAGTTTCAGGATTCATTAATTGATACATGTCCTTACTACAGGGCTGGCACACAGTTAAACTATAACTTTCAGCTATTGACATTTATTATTGAAACTGTATGTTAGCTATTATTACTATCCACAAGAATCAAGACATCTCAATTATATATAATACTGGTCTGGCAATTATATATAGTTAGAATCCTTGATCCTATAATTAGAAATAACAAATTATAACAGAAATTTTTGTTTTTCAAACACATTTTAAAAAGAAATGCATCTTGGGATAAGCCAAAGAAAAAAATCATACCTATATCCAAATACGTTATGTTAAAACCTTGTTCCTTGGCAATTTCACTAAGCAGCTGGATGTAATCTGTATTAGGAATACTAAGGAGGCTTCTTTTCAGTAAGTTGATCTTTTCACCAGGAGAATTCCTCAAGGAATGCCAAGTGCATCCTAAAGAATTTCCTACTACATTAGTCTGAAAAATAGAGATGAAGATTTATAGTCTTAAAGACTGTCTTTTAACACCAGTATCAGTATACTTACAAGCACTCACATTTAATACTTCAGAAAGCATATTTAAATTGGTACTATGTGGTTATCTTTCTAATTTAAACTAGACAATGCTAACATGCACATCCGTTTAACAAATACCATGAAATGAAAAATAAAAAACAACACAAATAAATAAAATACATTGTTAAGTATTTAAAAATACTTTTGTTTGTCAATATTGGAGTTGGAAGTTGTTGAGACCTTTAATGAATTATTTTTCTAATTCTCTTTTGACCAAGATGGTGCTGCCTTTTATCTAAGAGGCAACTTTGGAGACATAGAGGGGGCCCCTGGCCCATCAGGGAAACAAAAACCACACAATTTTTTTTTTTTTTGTATGTAGAGCAAAGGTTTCTCTTCCTCCTTGAAGGTTTTCTGAAACCACAGTCTAGATCAGATACCTTCTTCCATGTTCCCAGACTGCCCTCTGTAAGGACTCATCTGTAATATTCTTCCCTGTTTAGGAGGCTATAAACTCCTTAGTGGTAGAAATTGTTCATTCACTGTAGCCCAGTACTGGGCACAGACCTTAGCATACAGTAGGAGCACACTAAATGATTGTTGAGTGGATAAGTGAATGGACCAACAAAAAATGGAAAAGTGCTGTTGCTTTGAAGGCCAAAATAGCACCATTGGACTATCACTTTATTCATTCATTCTTCAGTAATTTTTGGTATTGAGAATCAAATCCAGAGCTTCACAAATGCTATGCATGCACTCTACCACAGAGGTACAACCCCAGCTGGGGCTGTCATGTTTAGATCCCATCCTATTATTCTGAATTGACTGTGTCTCTCAAGTCCTCTTACCTGGTTACCTCATGTGACTCTGGCTCACATATAGAAAGCAGCTAAAATTGGCATGGTGTGCAAATGAAAGATGAAAAGATTTTTTTTTTTTTTAAATTGCAACAATGAAGTATCAATCCAACAAGAAATTAAGGAAATATTCCTAAAGCAAGAAAAGCTTAATCAAATTAACATCATAACTGTCTGCTTAATACTCACTAGAGAAATGTGGTTCTCTGGAGAAATATTACTAAATTTGGCAAGAAATTTTTCAGCAGCATTTCTCTTGGCTTGTTTCTTCGATGCCCCCTTTCCTATAAAAAGGAAAAAAGATGGTAGATTTAGAAAGGAAATCAGTGTCCACAGAGGATGATTGAATGTGTAAGGGATTATGTTTTTCATCTTCTAGGGTATTTTCTTACTCACTTGACATTTTGTTTATTGTTTTTGTTGGTTGTAAAACACACACACACACACACGTTAATATATATACTTATTTCCCCTCTTTTTTTCAGTGCTGGGGATTATACTCAGGACCTCATGCATGCTAGGCAAGTGCTCTAATACTGAGCTACACCTCGAGCCCTCAAATGACTATTAATTCTTTACATTTTTGAAGGCAGTTCTTTTCTTTAACAGTTTTTCTTTAATAATTATACTTTCTGTTTTTCTTTAATAATTATTCTTCCCTTTGCCTAACTTTAATGAACAGTATTTGGTTTAATTGTGACCAATTTATTTACCAAAATATATTTGAATATGATCCCTCTCTCAATGTCCATTATCTATTTACAATCTTCTATACTAACAAATATAGAATTTCCTTAACATGAATAAGAAGGGAATAAAAAATGATGGAATTGAAAGAAAGATACCTTAAATAGCTACTTTCATACTCTGCTTTGTAAATTAAAAATCTGAAGTAATTTGCTTCACTTTTGAAAATAAAGGACTACGTCAGGAACCCAAAGGAGAGGCACTGCTTCTGGCCTAGTGGTTTCTGCAGTGGCCACATCACCTCTCAAGGCAGACAGTGCCTGTTACTTGAAACTAATATCTAGCTAAGGTAAAAGTCTACTTTCGGTCATTTTGAAAATAACAAAAACATGCCAGAGTAATAAAGAAGAATTCTCACTAGTACTTAATTAAGTGGCTGCTATTCCTCACAGTTTATGTCTTTTACAACTTAGAAGTTACTATAATTCCAAAAGACAATTTCTATTTATTTTTTATCTTATTGCATTTTTTGGGCCATCTATTTTCTTATTAATCACCTCTTTTTCAAATGTAATCTTCTCTAGTCCTACTTTCTAGAATATCTGTTGAAACTTTAAGAGATTTACTACTGTTCTTCCTCCCAGATGAATTATTTAAATCACTAATACATAGATGAAGATTATTTAAGGTATGGAGCCAATAATACATCTTTCCATTAACAACTTATGATTTTTTTAGAAACATCAAATTAAGAAACATGAGTATTCTTTTTCCTTTTTTTATTGGAGGAACTGGGGATTGAACCCAGGGCTACTTTACCCCTGAGTTACCCCTTCAGCCCTCTGTAGTTTTTGGAACAGAGCCTCACTAGTTGCTGAGGATGGCCTTGAACCCTCATTTCTCCTGCCTTCTGAGTTGCTGGGATTACAGATGTGCAAGACCAAATATTTATATTTAAGTTCTACCTTAGAAAGTTAGAGATAGTAGTATAGGAGTTTATCAATTTTTCTCCCCACAGACATTTTTGGGAAGATATAACAACAAAGATTTCTATGGTCATTCATCATCTGAAAATATTACAAATGTCTTAAATGGTAAGAAACAAGTACCAGTTTCCATAAATGACTCTAGCCTGCAAATTGTGGTATATTCTCTCTTATGAGCAGGTCCTCCTTCCTGGGAAAGAGTATATTCAGGAAGTCTCCAGCCATGATGAATAGCCAATTCCTATAAAATTGAAATAAAGCTTTAATAGTAAATTAATAGAAAATTCAACTGTGCAATGGCTTAATCACACAAATTTTATTTCTTCTTGATTTCAATCTCATTTCTAGTCATATATTTGAAAAGAAGGAAAGACCCTATATGTCCCATAAACATTCCCATCTTTTACATCTTTATATTACAATACTAAAATGGAAGCAGTTTTGTCCTATGAATGGCATTCTTCTTTTAAGCAATAGTGAGCTGATATCAGAGAAAGACCGGCCACCAGTGACCTCTTTGGGAACATCAGAGGAGACACCCACAGGTCTCCCTGCCCTCAGTTCCTAAAGCCTCTCCCCTCCTACCTACGGGCTTCTGGACCTGCAGCATTTGGTCAGGGGCTCATGAGGAGCAGAGACAGCAAACAAACTGGGATGAGGCTACATGTGAAGAAAACAATAGAAAAACTTATAGAGCAGAAAAAAGAGACCAACGGATTGGTTAGGTAATGGAGAGGAAAATAGTCCTAACAGAGCACATGGATAATCTGCAAAAAGAATATTCTGTTTGCAGAAATTTAAAGATAAACATATGTGTGTGCATGTGTGTGTGTAAATATAATTTTGTTAGAATAATCAAATAAATTAATTACATTTCTTTTCTTATACAGCCTTAGAAATACAAGTAATTTGTCTGACCCTCACCTAACCTCTTCCAATTCAGATTGTAAACTCCTTGATGGTAGGGTGCATCTTGAGTTAGGTTACCCAATTTTGGCTCTTTATAAAGTCTTCTGTCTCAAGAGAAGTAGAAAGAGGTTTGTCACAAAGATGGGAAGAAATGTTCTTAAAGTATAATATTCTCTACCCATGTGCAATGAGGTCCTGTTATTTCAAATGAGAATTTCACAAACCAAAGGCAGATACTGCATATGGAAGAAAATCCACAACTTAAATAAACGGGAAAATAATTCTAAGTTAGCTGCATAAAATAAGTTGGAAAACAAAATATTTCACCATCATGAAAATATAAAATGGCTTATCTTGAGCACTGTAATACCACCAATTAATTTTATCTTTTATCAGTAGACAAAAAGGTAAGTATGGAAAAAATATACAACTTACCTGTAATGAACCAATAGGATTAAGCTGGTTCTTTGGTTGTTTGGAAGGGTCAGGCATTAAGGGGTCAGGAACTGCAAAGCTAAACATATTTTTGAATGTTATTCAATAAAATAATTTCCCCAAATTACTTACTAAAAAAGAAAAAATTTTCTACTTAAGTGAAGCTCTTGCATTATATCTACATGTGATGCCCTTCTTTTCAACAATTTCTATAGAAATCTGAACTCTGTATCTATCTGTACATATCAAATGTCACTTCCTCTAAGAAACCTAGCCTTTTACCCAATGCATCATACTCTCTCACTCCTTTGAACCATTATAACATTTGGTTTGACATTTTATTCTTTATTTTATTTTTTTAAGTACTGAGGATCAAACCTAGGGACATTCTACCAATGGGATACACTCTTTTCTCTCTTTTTGAGATGGGTCTTACTAAGTTGTATGGGCTGGCCTTAAACAAGACTGTCTGCCTCAGCGTCTCAAGTCACTGGAATTACAGGTGTCACCACTATGCCAAGCTTGGTTTGACTCTTTCTTAAGAAAACTGACCTAAATTATACAGCCTTAGAAATACAAGTAATTTGTCTGACCCTCACCAAACCTCTCCCAATTCAGATTGTAAACTCCTTGATGGTAGGGTGCATTATTTACTTACATAAGCTTCATAGTGCTTTATACATAATAGGTGCTTGATAAAAATATATTCAAAGTACACTATTATGACTACACAAGATATAATAAGAGTATTAGCCAGGAAATTTAGCCTGGCACTATGGATAACACAGATCATCAATATAACTGTGGAAGAGAGACCTATTATTTCATCATGTGCTCAGTGCTAAGATAATCCTGTTAAGAGTTCTATGTATCCTGCATAAAATAGATGGTCTACATAAATCTGGTTTAACAATGTAGGGATTATGATTAAGGAAAAAGAACAATCTTTTCTAGGCAGTTTGAAATTACTAGTTACTCAGAAGATCAATGCCTAATGCAGAAGAAGCTGCATTCCAAGGTTACTTCCACCTAAGCAATAGAAGAATAATTTCTTCCATGACAAGTGAGGCTTAACTATTGCACTTCCTCAAGTTTCTTTACCAAATGCCAGAATTTCAAGCTTTACATAGGCTGATTAGATATAAGTATTCACTTACAATGCTGCATGCCGAAGCTACCCAAATAATTGTGATGGAGAAGTGAAAAAGTCTCTGTATTAAATCAGGCCATTTTAGGCCTGATTACAGCTTAGTAATTCCCATTTTATCTGTCAAGAAGCACAAATATATAGTAAAGTTTGTTAGCCTTTTTTGCTGACAAAGTGAAGTTCCTATATGCAGAAAGGACACTCCGTACACTCATTTCTACCAATGTGCTCAACATGTTGGGTTGACCTTTGGGCTGCACAGAAATAGCACAGCCATCATCAGTGGAGGCAGAACTCAAAATCTGCTATGCCATTTGGCATGTCTTGAAAGCTAGCATAAATCAATTGTAAGGTATGACCCCAGAGAAGCAAGTATCACCTTGTGAGATCCAAGGCTTGTCTGGGTTAAGTGCTTGTCTAGAGGGTTGCTATGTCACTGGTTAGTTCTAAATTAACCAAAAAGTTTAGAATGACTTAGGAAAAGGGAAGAGTATTGCATGAGAACCTAAATACAGACTTAATCCTAAAGACTTGTTACGGCTTTAGGAAAAACAATCTGATTTCAAGTTCCACAGATCTTTGCAGTTAGTTATGAGCAGATTATACCAGACTAAACTCTAAGCATCTTCTTTATTTTTGGGTACTGGGGACTGAACCCAGGGAGAAATTGAAACTATACTTTCAGAATTCTTTAAATAATTATTGAATATTATCCATTTACCAAAAAGTCACAAGAACCTATTTAGATTGCTGACATATAGAACTATTATCACTGGGTAGCAAATTGAGTGGACAAAGTTATTACCCAGAAGAACTATTTACTGTTGTCCAAATCATTTTTATGTACTAAACATCTGTGTATATTTTGCAATTTGAGACAATTTATGTCAAAGACCAGATGTTTCTGTTTTAACCTGAGTTTTATAATTCAGAGGAAGAACACACATGTAGAATCAGGGGCTAAAATCAGAAAGAAATGTAAATCAATGAAAGATTACTAGTAATTAGTATAGTAACTTCTTTATTTTTTTATATTTTGGTACCAGGGTTTAAATCTAGGGGTGCTTAACCATTGAGCCATATCCCCAGCCCTTTTTATTTTGAAACAGGGTCTTACTAAGTTTCTTAGGGCCTCTCTAAGTTGCAGAGGCTAGCCTTGAACTTGCAATCCTCTTGCCTCAACCACCCAAGTTGCTGGGATTATAGGCGTGAGCCACCACATCCAGCTTCCACTTCTAGCATTTTTGAGTTCATGTGTAAAAAGAATTTAAGGCATACTATGTTCCATGGTGTGCCTAACAGAAACCAAACGATAATATTTTATTATACATGAGATGCTTTAAGATTCACCTAAAACAGAAAAAAAAAAAATTCAATTTGGAAAAACATGGCAAGGATATCCCAGTTCACATTCTCTCGTATTTGGTATACAGTCTATAATAAAAGGAAATCTCTACCTCCTTCTTTCCAATGAGAATTCCCTAAGGAATATTTTTATTTCCATCTCACACCTTGTTTTCTTCAGTGTAGAAATAATCAAAGTCTTAATACAGAATATTAACAGTTGCCAGAGATATTATGGTTTCCGACTGCTGCACGCCATCTAAAAAACAACAAAGTAAAGCCTAATTCATGAGAGGCTGCAGTTAATTGGTAACTGCTGGGCTTAATTGGATAGAACTATCTTCATGGGTGATAGGTTTTCACAAAGAAATAGAATTTTAGAGCTCAGATACTGTTCACTCTGCTGCTTTGGGGAGCATGTTCACATTTTTAATCTTACCTCTGCCATGATCATTTTGAGCTGCAGAATACAAAGAAATTTAGCTCACCAAATACTTGCATTGGCTTTCAGAATGTGGATGGCCGCCTCTGCAGCTCGGTGTTTCGCCAGCTTCTTACTTGTACCTTCACCTGAATTAAAATGTAAAAAGATAGTCTTTGTGAAAATGTGTGCCTTACAGAGATGTTGTCATACTACAAAACAAAGTCACTACAGGTTTTTCATATATGCAGTTAGTACTGAAAACATACACTACATGCAATTATACACTGAAATAAACTATTCACTGTGTGAAACTGATACAGGAACAAAATCACAATCTAAAAAGTTCTATGTATTTAAATCTATGCATCCCTATGTAAAAAACTTTACTCTTTCTATATTATATATTTATTACACAAATGGTAATGATGTAGACCATGTCACACCTCCAGAAGAAACACAACTTAGCATTTCACTCTTCCCTTATTCCTGGGCAGGAAGTTCTTCTGAAGCAAGAAATTTCCTTTACAGAAGAAACTTTCAGAACTTTTGGACAGTGAAATGTGCACAATAGCCTGGTCCTATTCTGGATCAAACCCCTATGCTAGGCTAAGCAGTAATAGGTGTCAGCTTATGCCTTATGTCTTCCACACAATCTGTATCTTTTGCCTTGTAGATAAGGGAGGTTAGGGATAAGACTGATATTTGAATTCAGCAAGCAGCTGCATCTGGTAAAGAGTGAATTCAATCATTTTTTTCCTTCTGAGTTCAAACCCTCAATGTTAGGAAATAAGATTGAAGTGTGACCCTCTAATGTCAGAGGACACAAAAACCATACTCTTTTATCTAATAACATAGACATTAGGGACATAGCACAGAACTGAAGAGATTCCTTGACTTCTATGGCTGACAGCCTAGTGTGGGATTTTGTCTGCTAATAGGTATCTGAAACATGTTACACCAAACCTAAGTGTGAGCTCTAGGAAAGCGCACAAAAGTAGCAGTACCACTGTTCTTGTTAGGGCTTCAGAACAGTTTTATGGAGAAAGAGAACTAAACACACACTTGAAAGATGAGGAAAGTCTAGTAAAGGAGAGAGAACTAGGAGATTAGGAAGAGCATTCTTGGTAGAGGAAAGGCACCTGCAAAGGCTCAAAGGCAAAAGAAAGCAGTGTTATCAAGGCCATAAGTGTTGCATATGGCTAATGTGTAAGAGCTCAAGGGGAGCAATTTTGAGATAAAAGGCTGGAGAACTTGGGGGCTGGGGAATGAGTTTTATATGTATATCCATACACACACACACACACACACACAGATATTATATACACTTGTGCTATTCAATCCTTAACATGTATAAAAATTGACAAGGAATTTTGTTAAAACATACTCTGACCCCATACATCTGGGATGTGCCTTATATTCTGCATTTCCATCAAGTACCCAAATGATATCAATCCTTCTGTTGACTACATCTCAAGAAGGTAAGAAGTCACGTTAAAATTTTTGTATTTATCCAGAGGGTGATGGGGAAACCACTCAATGGATGTTAAGAGAAGGAGGACAAATTTGAGTACTAGGAAAAGAACATTCGTAGAGAATGGGCATTACACAGGAAGAAGATAAAAGAGGGACTAGGTTTGTGGCTCAGTGATGGAATGCTTGTCTAGCACATGTGAGCACTGGGTTCACTCCTCAGTACTACATAAAAGTAAATAAAACAAAGCTAAAAAAATCTATCAAAAAACTTAAAAAGAAAAAAAGAGCAGTTATAACACAGAAGCTATAATCCAAAAAAAGAGATGACAGTGGTCTGGATGGTAGCAATAGGAAGAAGAGAGAAAGAGACTTAATAGCTATTTAGTAGAGAGATTTTAATAACAAACTGGACAAGAGAGGAGAGGAGCAAAAGATATCAAGAATACCAACCCTGGGGCTGGGGCTGTAGCTCAGTAGTAGAATGCTTGCCTTGCAGATGTGAGGCCCTGGGTTTGATCCTCAGCACCACATAAAAATCCTGAATTTCTACTGAGCGACTGTGTGACTATGGTGCCTTTACAGAGAAAATGAATGCAAAAAAATGGGTTTAAGGGGAAAGATGGATTCAGTTTGAGACAATGAGTCTGAGAGGCCTTTGTATCATCCAAACAAAGTTGCCTGACAAGCACACAAGTTGATACACTGTTCTGCAAATGGGACCGGAAGAAAGATATTTCTGAATTATTAGCCTTTATCTGGTATTTGAAGCCATGGAGGCAGATTAGCTAGCACAGGAAGACAGGGTAGTGGGAGAAGAGGTCCAAGGGATAATAACAGAAACAGGTGTTTTGTTTTGTTTTAATATTTTTCAGTTGTCGATGGACACAATATCTTTATTTTATTTAATTTTTTTATGTGATGCTGAGGATTGAACCTAGTGCCTCACACAGGCCAGGCAAGCAAGTGCTCTTCCACTGAGCCACAAATCCAGCCCTAGAAACAAGTAATCATTCCCTGGCCTAAAGCATGTTGGGGTGGGAGGAACTACTTCTTTTTAAACTTCCACTGGATATTTAAAAATAGAACAACTTAAATAATAATAATGCAATGTTGACACTATGGCTTATATGAGGAACATTGCAGCCACACTTCTTATCCACCTGTCTCACATAGAAAAAAAAAGCTTCATATTTTTGTTAAAGTAGCTTCAATGAAAATAGAGGAGTCTAAATTTCCAGGGACACATACAAATGATGCCTTCAGATTATCAAATGATATAATTTCAGTCTTCCTATTAATACTTTTCTTGGCATTTTTCCAAATTAAATTTAGTATTACTTTTTTGTTTGCAATTAAATAGGTATATGAGAAAAATAATGTTCACATTTACAAATGGGCATGCATCTGAATTCTGAAACTTCACTGCAGTGTGACTCGGAGCATGTTATTTATGATCTCTCTGAACCTGTTTCTTCATGTATAAAAAGGAGATACTATCTTATACAAAATACTTGTACAGTTTCAGGAACTAGAAGCTACTAATACAGTGAATGGGAGTCTTTCCACATTCCTCATTGTTTTGCCTTTTTTTTTTTTTTGTGGACATAATTAAGAGTGATACAAGAGATCCAAAGTTCCAAATAATTCTATAAAGACAGAAGGGAAACTCAGACAACTCCGGGGTCATGCCTCCCTGTATCTGCTATAATTTATAAAACTATGAAACTTGATAGTACCTACTGACCCAGCTATGAGGGCTCCAAGAACCCTTCCGGTTTCTTTTTAATTCTTGGAGGAACCTTGGGAGGATCCTATAGTATGTGAAGAGCCTTGTAGGATGCCTGGATAACTTTTTATTATCTGAGCATCCTTGTATCTGGAGAAGAGAAAATTAGAATCAGATGAAGTTGAAAAGCTCTTAACAACCTAATATATGAGGTCTCCGTTTTAAAACCTGCCCCTCATAGCTGTCTCTGGCAAAAGGGGCACTTTTCCCAATTGAAAAGTAACATCAAGTCTGGACTGCCAACCAGCAGGGTCAAGGGGTTAACTGTGCATACAGACCTGTGCAGGTTATGTCCCCAACGGTTACTCTGAAGGTGAAAGTTGGCACGTGTATCTGCACATCGGATCTTTCACATTCATAAACCGGGATGTTCTTGGTCTTCATGCCATATTCGTGTAATACCTGAATCGGTGTTTTCCCTGGCTTAGCTGTTATCATCTTCCCCAAACTGCAAAAACCAGAAAAAGGTGTGTCAAAGCAAACAGGGAAGCAGAAGCATACACAGGGCCAATTTTGACTGCTATCAATGGTGACCGGGGAATTACTGTAGCTTCCTGGCTGCCAGGACCAGAGCTGGCAAGGCCTGTGCGCACCTGTCTCCCAGCTCTGCTGAGGCAGTCACCCAGCAGGGGCTAGCAGGGTGAAGGAGGGACGTCTTTATAGACAGAATTCGAATGCGGACAGAAAGGTGTTCTCAGGCGCACACGGCTGCATACTCTCAAGACCAAGTCCACCAACCCGGTCCGCGCGTGGCACCTTTTGCCACCCCGTCCCCCCTGCGCGCCGCCACGAGCCACAAAAGGGGCGGGGCGCGGCCACAGACCCCGGCGGCCGGGCCATAGACCCCTGCCAGTCGCCGCCAAGAGGGCGGGGCAGAGCACCACAGAGTGTGTGTGTGTGGGGGGGGCGACAGGAAGGGGCTCTACCCAGAATGCCGCCGGGGCCGGCTCCCCGCCCCCTCCTCTGCTGCCCACCACTCTCGGCCCTGCGGCCCCTACTGCCCGGGCTCGAACCTGAAGGTCCCGCTGTCCTCGCGCTCCAGTGGCGGGGCCTCCGCGCGACGTCTGCTTTGAGACATGGCGAGAAGGGACGGCTAGGCAGCGCGAGAAAGAGCAGTGCGGAACGGCGTCCTCGCTTCCCGCGTCGGTCGGTCCCCGAGCGGAGCTCTCCAGCACTACAGTCTCCAGGTCTCCTTGCTGCAGGCGTCCCTCTTGCGAAAGGAACTGGCGGGGCGGGGTGGGGGGAGGAAGGGCGGGGACTCGGCGTTACGGCGCCGGCCACACCTCCTCGCTGCCGGACCTCAGGCCCCGCTACTAGCCAGGCCCCGCCCCTCTCCCGGCTCCATCTCTTCCCAGCGCCGGCTCTTCCCAGCTTGGCCTGCACCCCCTTCGGCTCACGAGACTTCACGGTGCTGGCCCCTCCCCTCTCCAGTCCCCGCCCCTCCTCTCTCCAGGCCCCGCCCCCTCTGTCATACCCCAGCTTTTCCCAGTTCCCGCCTGCGCTCCACTTAAGCTCCCGGGGCACCCTGGTCGATCATTTGCTTGCCGCTGTCACCGCGCCTGGAGCTTGAGTTTGGGGGCCTTAGGAGGTGGTTTGCCACCCGGAAAGAATGCTTATTCCTGTGGGCTCAGGGTTAGCGAGGCCAGAAGTCCGGTGTATTTGGCGGGTGGGGAGGACAATCTGGGGACAGGTTCACTTTAAGAAAGATTTGAAAATGTTAATGCAAAATTGCTAGGGAACCTCTCAGAACCTGGCGATGAAACTTGAGACCCTTGATTTATGGGCTCCTGAGAGCTGAGCAGGCTTTTCCAGCCTCTGCGTCCTCTGGGGCTTCTGGAGACCCTTCTCTCCTGCTGGGCGGGCTCCTTTGTCTTGGAGGCAAGTTGGACAGCGGGTCAGCAGAGCCCGGCAAGGCTTGTTAGGTGTAAAGGAAGGCCTTTCTGTAGGCCAGGTTCCAGTTTTGTTGGTTGTAATGGCGTTGGTGGATGCGCTACCTTTTGTGGGGATCAAACTGCGACATTACTTGTGTCGTCTCTCTAAATGTTTGCTTTCCACGTGCAGAAATGGCTCCCTGTGCTTACAAGGTGTTCTGGAAGATGGTTTTGCACAATAATGTTTTCACAATGGACATTATTATTTAAAAAAAATTTTTTGTAGTTGTAGATGGACAACGTGCCTTTTATTTCTTTATGTGGTGCTAAGGGTTGAATCTAGTGCCTCTGGAAGATGATTTTACACAATACTGCTTTCACAAAGGACATTATTATTTTAAAATGTTTTCCCCTAGTTTTAGATGAACAGCACGCCTTTATTTCTTTATGTAATTCTAAGGAACTAACCCAGTGCCTCACACATGCTAGGCAAGTGCTTTGCCACTAAGCTACCTACCGCCCCAGCCCCCAGAAAGGACGTTACTAAAAGTACATTTTGGGTTGCGTGTGACCCCTGAACACTTGAAAGCAAGTTAAAAAAAAATACCAAGAATCTAATCAAATTAATTTCCATTATTTGAGGCTTGAATTAAGCCTAGTCCCTCTTCCTCTACACCACATATGGGTGTATGTATATCAACTAATACCCAGCTGTATTAAGTTTAAGTGAACATCTTTAAGGACCACAGAAACATTGTTTGAATGTTCATTAAAACGTTAGTACAGATTTGCTTTGGATATGTATTTTTAGCTAAAAAGTTTCTTAAAAACAAGTGAAAACCTTTTATAGATCTCTTTACAGATTGAGTAGGATAATAATGACGAAATAAAAACAAAATAAGTGCAGCAGGACTCCATTTCAGGTTATATAGACTGAGTGCCTAGCTTCTGAGTAAGAAAACATTGCATAATATTTTATAGTTTTCTAAATGTGTAAAATGGCTTTAATTTAGTATTTTGTAAATATCTGCAGGCATTTGTTTCCCTGTATTCTGTGTATTTATATTTAATATTAGGCACTTGGTTTTGTGAACATACAGATGGGAAAATGTTCCTGCATTAACTCTATACCATAAAGTTTCAAAAACACCACTGTTCTGTGGCCAAAATTTGCCTGGTGAACTTGTGAAGGAATTCCCTTTGGACTAGGTCCATTATAGATAGTATCCAGGACTAATGTTAGTGCCTAAATTGCAGCGTTTCCCATGGGGCTATCTGCTTTCCTCAGAATTGGCCCATTGCTACTAGAAAATCACTATCAACTATGATTCCCATCAAGGATGTCAGTGGTATGTTGGAATTAGTTTTCTGTGTATATTTTAGTGCTATAAATTGCCATTCCAAATTAGGCTTGCTTTTAGTATATCATTTTACACCGTTGATCTATTATTTATTACCTGAGCACATGAAGATAGGCAATGTTGTGAGGTGTACACGGGTAAACTACTTGGTGAAAGCATGCTTTGTATTTTTAACATGTATAATTGTATTAAGATCAAGCAAGCTTAGTTTTGTGCCTGGTTTTCTTGTTTGAAAATGGATTTGTTACCTGGGAGTTGCAGTTGATGACATTTTGATATTAATATGTTTGCTGCTGCTACAAAGAGCTTTGTCAAGCAAGTTGGAGATGGAGGGAGATTAGTTCCAGTTCCAAGCCTCAGTGAAGCTGACAAATACCAGCCTCTCAGTCTGGTGGTAAAAAAGAAGCGATGCTTTCTGTTTCCTAGATATAAATTTACCTCAACACCTTTTACACTGAAAGATATTCTCCTAGGAGACAGAGAAATTTCAGCTGGTAAGTTTAAATGTTTGGGAGTGACTACTCATGGAACTGTTATTAGTAACCTAAACAGAGGTCCTATGTACTATTTATACTAGTAATACATATTTTCAATGAAAAAAAAGCAACTTTTATTATGAAAGTAATGATATTATTGAGATGAACAATGCCTAAAGTTTATATAATATCAAATCTCTTATTGAATACTTTTAAAGTCTATTAATTATTTTATAAGTTGTTTTAATCAAAATCAACTTAGAAAACGACATAGTATTTTTTCCTCTATAAATTAGTGTATTATTTGATCTTATCTCCAGATAAAAATAATTTGAATTTTGTTTACAATTCAGTTATTACACCTGGTAAACTGAAATGTGTTTTTAAAGCTTGATTAAATGTGTTTTTAAATGTGTTTTTAAAGCTTGATTAAAAAGTCAATTGACATTTTGATAAGTTACTGCTTCTAAACACCTGTTTTTATTTCAATAACCTAGTATATCTTGATATTTAAGAAATTTTGTTGACTGAACAGATAATTTGATTTCATTTGAAATATTTTGGCTATTTGTTTTTTGTTATTGTAAAATTGAACTGCTATTTTAATTTTGGCCTGAAATGTTGCTTTTTTTTAAATTACCATTTGGGAGATTGGATCTTGAATTGCAAATTAACCTGTTACTTTATATAATCTATATAAGCTGAACTGGAGGCATTTAAAAATACTAGTCCCTTTTCATAAAGGTATTTCATCTTATCAATTACTGAATTATGAAGATGAATCAGATGTTTCACTTTATGGAAGGCGAGGCAACCATATTGTAAATGACGTTGGGATTAATGTTACTGGATCAGATTCCATTGCAGTAAAAGCTTCATTTGGTGTAGTAACCAAACATGAAGTGGAAGTATCAACATTACTCAAAGAAATTACTACACGGTCAGTATAATAATCCAAATGCATGTCAGTGTTTTAATTAAAAGTTTTAATATATATAAACTTCATTGTAAAGAATGCTTAATTTTACTAATGTAATTTATTTGTGTGATTTTTTTTTTTTTAAATATTACAAATGTAGTAGTATTGTTGCGGGAAACAGACGGGTTGAGGAGCAGCAAGCAGCACTCAGGAGAGGAGAACTCCAAACATTGTTTTATGCTGATGGGCCCAGAGGGGAACAGACTCTAATTCTGAGCACTCATCCACAGTTTCTCACAATTTTTATAGGTTATTTGGCATCATTTTAGACTCATCCTATTATTGGGGGCTTTTTTCCTCTTTAAGAAAAAAACTCCTAATCTACAGGGCTGAAGGCCTTGTGTAAACATGCTTATAGAAACAGATACGGATAAAGGCCTCTTTTCACAGGCATGTGTTAAATCTCTAGCCTTAAAAGCATAGCACAGGGATGTTTATATTTCAAGAGGGAGAAGTTAAACTCCTAGGGCAGTTATTTACAGTAATCCAAAAGGTTAACCCATTGGTTAATTAGGCTTCCTAAAGAATGGCTGAGAGGAACTTTCCCCAAGCATTGGTTTCTTACCCAAACCTTTTTTTTTTTGGTAATTTCTGTTTACAACCAGGTCTGGTTTTGCCGTCACAGTATACAAAACTTTGGGTCAGGGTAGATACCCAAGAATCATTTGGTTTGAAGAAGATTTTCTAGTGTTCCACAAAATCACTAAGCCCCTACACAAATTGGCTAAATTATTAAACTAAAAAAAAAAAGACTCTTTGTCTGCAACAAATGTAGAGAGCCCCCTCCAACAGACTCAATAGAGAGAACAAAACTCCACATGAGCCTGTTTTAAGAAATTAGAAGGAAGAGCCAGGGTGTTCACATTCTTTTGGGTGTCTTTTCTGGTTTATATTAGGTCTGCCTTTTTTACATTTCGTTAAGATGGACTATGAATGAGTAACACATGATAGGAAAAAAATGTGCCGGATTATATATAATTTGATGTTGAAGAATCTTATGACTGTCTTCTTTTTATTTTAGGAAAATTAACTTCGATCACAGCTTGATACGTCAGTCACGGAGCAGCAGAAAGGCTGTGCTTTGCGTGGTCATGGAAAGCATTCGAACCACACGACAGTGCTCCCTGTCTGTTCATGCTGGCATTCGAGGAGAAGCCATGCGGGTAAGACAGAAGCATTAGGCTTTGCTTACTAGCTACAGAGTTGCTGTGGGAAGTTTTAAAAAAGCACTCAGTTAGAATGAAACTTAGATATTACATCAAATGTTGAGATGAAAGAGCTGCAGTGGTTTAGGATTTTGCACAGTGTTTAAGAACATGAAAAAAAATCCAAGAAAACATAGATTCTAAACATGTGTAATATGATGCAGATAAAGCACTAATTCTTGTTGAATATTTGCATGCCAGCATTTCTGTCGTTGCTATTTAAGTTCTACTTTAAGAAAACAAACTAAGTGCTGAAGTTGCATTATTTTATTTTTGAGGTACTGAGATTTAACCCAGGGACTCACACATCCTAGGCAAGTGCTGTATTGCTTAGCTATACCACCTGCTCATTTTATTTTTTATTTTGAGATGGAGTCTTGCTAAATTTCCAAGGCAGGCCCAGACTTGGGCTCCTCCTGCCTCAGCCTCCTGAGTAGCTGGGATTTATAGATGTGTGCTGTCATGCCTGGCCTGATTTTACTTTTAAGTTATATAGTTCATACTTGGAATTTTTAAACATTGAATTTATATTCTATATTAAAATAGTTTTTCTAAATGAATATCATCAATGGTCAAAGCATGCTTCATTCAATTTTAAATCCTTTAAAAAAATTAGAAAATTATGTGGGTTTAAATTTTTTAAAAATGTTTTTAGTTGTCAATGTACCTTTATTTTATTTATTTATATGTGGTGCTGAGAATTGAACCTAGTGTCTCACACTGGCTAAGCAAGCACTCTACCACTGAGCCACAACCCTGGCCCACGTGGGTTTAAATTTGATCTCAGTTATGATATTCTTTATCTTTGTCATGTAGTGACACCTAATAATGCCTTGATAGGATTAAAGCCAATTGTTAGAAAGGTAAGACTTAAATGATAATCTTTTTCAAGTCTTTTACTAATAAAGGTCTGTTCAGTATGACATTCAGCTGTCCACTGAATTCTGATTAACATTGGATGATTTGAGGGGCACAGACTGAAGCATTATTGGAATATGGTTAACGCTTTTGGAAAGTTGCAGAAAAACTCTGGAGGATTTGAAACAGTAGACAGATTAGGGCCAAAAATACCTCAACACAGTTATTTTGTAAGATTTGAAGTTTTAAGAAAAAAAACTTCTATTGCAGAGAGCATTACTCTTGGGTTGGCCCTAATCATTGGCTTCAGTACCAAAGTAAGCAAAATAGTCTAGAAGTCTTCCCCGATTCAGATTACCAGTTCCTGCTGGATCACTTGGATCTCTGAAATGACAGTCTAATTCAAGCAGGGTAATTCTTTACTTGAAGAGGTTTTGTTTTTTGTTTTAGTAGTATTGTAAAAGATGATTTGCTTCTCAAAAAAATCTATCCTGACGTGTCAGCATCCTTAATAATGTTATTTTATTTTTTATTTATTTAATATAGTTTCATTTTATGGATGAACAGAATCCCAAGGGAAGGGACAAAGCTATTGTTTTTCCAGCACATACAACCATAGCTTTCAGTGTTTTTGAACTCTTCATTTACTTGGATGGTGCCTTTGGTGAGTGGAGAATCTGCTTCAAACAGTGATTTTTTTTTTTAGGAGAATTTAGTAGGAAAAGCCTCTCTCTCCCTTTCCCTCCCCCACCTCCTTTCTCTGATAATCATAGAAAAGTGATGCCTGCTTTCTGCACTGTGAGTCATAGGGAGATAATCAGCGACCTTCTGATAGGTAGTTTTTGATAGTGGTAAATAGGAGTAGTAAAAAGAGGCCTGTAGTGTCAGGGCACCATACTTCAGTTTTACCTATATTAGATACAACTGCCCCTGTACTCCCCTAAAACATAACTAGAAGTATAGATACTTCCTTCAGAATTGTCCTCTTGTGTGATAGCTCTGTGTACCTATCACACTGTCGCTGTCTACATTTCACAGGTCTTTAAGCTTGGTTGGCCGCCAGCCAGCCCAAGTCCAGGTATATATAGCCCAAAAGACCAGGAAGGGAGCCCCCTAGCCATGATAATTTATAAACATTTTTAGATCTGTTTTGTTCTTTTTCTACAATTCTGTGGGAGGAGAGAATAGGAAGCCTAGAAACAAAACTACGTTCTGAGTAAATTCTATTTGGAACCTACTAAGTGTAGATTTTTACAGTTATATTGATGTATGGGAAGAAGATAGAGTGGTATCCATCTAATTCTTAAATGAAAGTATGTTTGTCCTTGCACTTCCAGGAATTTATCCTACAGGTGTACTTACACACATGTGAAATAGTTTGGGTATAAGGATAGTCTGTTCCTAATAACAAAAGATTGAAAACAACCTTAAGGGAACATCCATAAATCAGGATACTAGGAAGCCATTAAGGGCGAGGTCTCTATAGACTCTGACATGGAATAATCTCTAAGACATATTTTATTGAATTTTTAATTTTTTTTTTGGTACTGGAAATTTAACCCAGGGTGCTTTACCACTGAGCTACATCCCTAGCCCTGTTTGTATTTTATTTTGAGATGGCTTAGGGCCTTTCTAAGTTGCTGAGGCTGGCCTCAAACTTGTGATCCTCCTGTCTCAGCCTCCTGAACTGCTGGGATCGCCGGCATGTACCACTGAGCCCAATATCTAAGACATATTTTAAAGAAATGTATCTAATGTGTAACTATTTGGTCCTAAAGAATTATACACACACACACACACACACATACATACATAGATATTCTTTTATGTAAACTATAAGGAGTATTTCTGGAAGCATACACAGACACTTAACATTGCCTCTAAGGTGGAAGACTGGCTGGGTGCGGTTGGGCTAGAGACTTAATCCTGCATACCCTTTTTATGTGATTTGAATTTTGTACCATATAAATGAATTTTTTCCAAAAATGTATGAATTTAGCTTTAAAAAAATGGAATGAATTACTAGATTCATTGCCCTATAAAACACCCCATAGCATATGAGTTGTTCAGGTTATAACATCTTCTCAAAATTGTTTTGTAGACCTTTGTGTCACTTCAGTGTCAAAAGGAGGATTTGAAAGGGAAGAAACAGCAACGTTTGCACTGCTCTACAGACTGAGAAATATACTATTTGAAAGAAGTATGTCTCTTGAAGAGTATTTCAAATGAATTTTTTCCTTCCTGGATTAATATCCAATAATGCCATGTATTAAGGAAAGATTTCAATGTAAAAGCCAAATCATTTCATGACTGATAGTTTAGAGTCATATATTTATAAATGCAGTTTGGGCTGTTTGTTTTCTGTTTTAACTTCTAATACATTTCTGTGTTTGTCCTTTTAGATAGAAGAGTGATGGATGCCATTTCTCGTTCACAGCTTTACTTGGATGATCTTTTTTCTGACTACTATGACAAACCTCTCAGCATGACTGATGTTTCACTCAAGGAAGGGACTCATATCCGAGTTAACTTACTTAATCACAACATTCCTAAAGGGCCTTGCATACTCTGTGGAATGGGGAACTTAAAAAGGGAGACGGTCTATGGTTGCTTTCAGTGTTCTGTAGACGGACAGAAGTATGTGAGACTTCACGCAGTCCCTTGTTTTGATATTTGGCACAAGAGAATGAAATAAAAAGAAAAAAAACAGAATATGCCTCATTGGTGTCTTAAGTGCAATTGTGCCATAAGCCTTCTCTAGTTTGCTTTGATGGTAAGTTAAACCGAGAGAAGAGCTGGAAAACCTGTGTGGATGTCATTTTCCTAACACATAAAGTGGAGATGTGGCACATCTTTTTTCTTTATAACTTGTCATGATTAATAACATTGTGTATGTAAAAAAGTTCAAACCTAAAATTCAGAAGATAGTCATTCCTTCATAATTTTGCCAGTTAATTTAGAATCATTTTTGGGATTTAGTCTATGATAATATTTTATATAATTAAGAGATTTTTCTAAATATCAGTTTTATTTTCAGTCAAATTTTAATTCAACATTTAAGGATGACAAGAATGCACCAGTGGCTACTTTATGGTCCTTTAGTGCTCTAGGTCTGGTAAAAGGAGAAAAATGTGTTAATAATTTAATATAATTCTAAATGTTTAATTGCAGTATCAAATTAAAAACACTGAGCTCGGCATGGGGTTTTGTGTACTTGGTTAACAGTGTGACTGAAAGTAGTAATAGGTTGCCATTCTGTGACGTACATATGCTAATTTTGTCTTCATAAAACTTGCTTAATTTTTTTTGGCTTCATAAACTCCTTTTAATCTTTTTTTAAAATCTTTTGTGGTTCTTGGGATTAAACCACTGAACTATGCCTATTTTTTTATTTTGAGAAAGGTTTTCCCTAAATTGTCCAGGCTGGCCTTCAACTTGTGATCCTTCTCCCTTAGCCTCCTAAGTAGCTAGCATTACAGGTCTGTGGCACAATGCCTGGTTTCTATTGTCATTTTAAAAGTTAAGGCAAATAGAACATGTCTGTTTCTTCTTTGAAAATGTTTCAGACATTTAATCTGTTTAGTTTTGAAAGGTCTTTTTGTTGTTGTTGTTGTTGATTGCTTAGTCTGGCCTCATGGGCTCAAGATGATCCTCTTGCCTTAGCCTCCCGAGAGCTGGGATTACAGGCACATGCCACCATTCCTGGTTTACTTCCCTTTTCTGAGGGAAATAAAATGATGAAAGAGTTATAATTAAGCAAGCCAAAAAGTGTTAGAAAATTGAGTATAGAAGCAAAAACATACCAGAAAGAAAGAAGATAGTAAAGTATCTACGCATACATGATATTAATGTGGTGGTTTCTGTATTACCCCTGGACTTTTAAATAGAATCTCTGGCATTGTATCTAATTAAGTTAAAAGGTAAGCAATGATTTAGAAAGAGCAAATTTCAGAAAATAGAAAAAGCTTCAAACTCACTTATTTTGAGCAGAGCTATGCACTGCCTGACCATACTTCTCCATATATGTATGTTATGTAGTATGCAAAATTTTACATGCTTTAATAAATATGTGCCCTTTCTTTGGCACAGTGATCTTTTACAGCATCTCTTACATATTACTCTCAACAAGGTAGATGTTCTAAGTCAACTTTTTCATCACAGTGACCAAAAAAGCTGATGGGAAAAATTTTAGAGGAAGGAAAAGTTATTTGGTGCTTGTGATTTCAGAGGTCTTAGTCTATACACAGCCAGCTCCATTGATCTGGGCTTGAGGTAAGGCAGAACCTTCATGGCAGAAGAGGAAAGCAGCTCAGGACGTGGCTACCAGGAAGCAGAGCTCTGCTCACTAGTGACAAAAACCCAAAAGGCATACCCTCAGTGACCCACCTCTTTTATCCACATTCAATCTATTTACCACCCACTTAATCCTTATCAGCAGGTTACCCCACTGATTAAGTTATCACTCTTATAATTTCATATCTGAAAATTCTCAAATTGTTTCAAGCATGAGATTTTGGGAGACACTTCATATTTAAAACATATAGTAGACCACCATTCATGATTTGACCATGACACAAAATTGACCCAGCTCTGTATATCCTCATTTGGAGTAAAAATAGAAGTTTTACAGTTATCAAAATTTGACAGCATGCCAGTTCATAATCATCAATCACGTTAATGATGAGAATGTTGTAAAATGAAATGACATGAGAAAAGTTCTAGAGAAAGGATACTGGTAACTAAGAAACTCCATGGCATCCATTGAAAACTATGAAGACAAAAAGTTAGGGGTGGTAGATATAAAAGTCCACAAGAGGGAAGACAGTAGCACATTTACTAAGAAGTATTGACTTTATGCCTTTTATAAGAGGTAAAAAGTCTTTATTATGGTCAAATATCTACCTCTTAGCATTCCCAACTGGAACAAACATGCAAGGCTAGAAGCTTGTACCAAAAAAGTTCTTTGTGGGACAGAGATATATAACTAAAATCTTCCTTCATGCATGCCAAGGACCACAATTCTTTCAATAATGTTATGAAATACATAAAAAGATGATATACTAGTTCCTGAGTCCCTACTTCATATTTTAAAAATATGAAACATTTTAATATCTAAAATATTGAACCTTTACATATTTATACATATTGTTCAGGTTAGGTTAGAGTTGGGAAGAGCTTGCAGATTTTGACATGTGTTCTCTTATACTTTGGACAGGAAAATATTGCCCACTCAGTTACAGGTCCATTTCATGGCACTGCAATTTGTGTTCACAGAATAAAGCAATAGGAAACACAATCATACCTTTCCTAAGAGATAAATTTGCAAAACAGCATCACATTTATTAAACAAAATTACATGTATTGAAGGGAACAAAATATCTCACAGGAGAAAAATAGAAACACAACCTGGAGAAAAATGACTGTATAATGTATTAAAGTACAGTAAGTAGCTAAAAAATGTAGAAATAAAAATATGCTATAGTTCATCATGCTGGTATACATTGTATTCTTTGGGAGAAATGAAGCCATCACCATCATGGTCATTCTTCTTAAAAATATCTTCTAAAACTGCATTCTGATATGACTTGTCACGTGGCTTCTCATCTTTTTCAAATTCTTTTTTCAAGTAATGATTTATCTAGAGACCCAAAATAAGATTTCTTTAATAAAAAGATATAACCAGTTTCTTTTTCAAACCAGTAACTTTGAGGAGTATATAACAATAACGAAACTCATATCCAAGACTACTTATATTAAAAAGTTGCATTTTTAAAAGCTATCTGAGATTTTTAATTTTGTAACATTGGAAACAATTTTTGAAGAGTACCCATTTCCCTTGAGATTACAGATGGTTAGTGGCAGATACCATGAATTTTGTTGAAACTAAATGCTTTCTAGTAATCTACATGTTCCCACTAATTATTCCTAAGGATTTTCATTAGTGAATAAATCCACATTAGCAGTTCTATAAGCTCTAAAACTAATATTGTATAAGCAATAAAACTCAACCACAGATTTTAAAATAAAATTTAATTCTTAATTTTTCCATGCTTCTATAGTTCTCTCTTTAAGTCTATATAACTAGGACAATCTAATAACAATGTCAAATAAATAACTGGCATTCTGAAGTATTATTCCCTGTTTCTCCAGGTAATATGAAATTTCTCTATGTAAACACACAATAAAGCACTGTCCAAAACAGTAGCCACTAGCCACATGTGACTATTGAGCATTCGAAATGTGGCTACAACAACCAGATAAGTTACTATAAATATATAACACATTACAGATTTTGAAGATAGTACGAAACAGTATATCTTATAAGTTTTTATATAGATTTCATGTTGAAATGGTACTATTTTAGATATGTGGAGTTAAGATAAATCATTAAAATTTCACCTATGTTTTCTTTTCATTTTATTTCATTTCATTTCTTGAGACAGAGTCTCACTACATTGCCCAGACTAGTCTCAAACTTATGGGGGCTCAATTGAGCCTCCCAAGTAGCTGAGATTACAGGTGTGCACCACTGCACCTGTCTTTGTTTTTACTTTTTAAAAAGTGGTTACTAAAAAATTTACAATTGAATGTGTGACTCAATAATATTTTCGCTGGAAAGTGCTAACCTATATAATCATGAAAGAAAACAAAGCACAAAAATCTGGAGATAATGTTCTTGAAGGCTGGAGCATTTCTGAGGTAAGAGAACCTTTGAAAGCTGAAGTTGAACCCTGAAAGGATTTTAGCAATACATATCCCCAGGTCAACCCATCACAAATAGACTTTAGAATGATCAATGGACCTTACTATAGGATATATCAACTGTTTTCAAATGTGACTTTTGTTCTATATGAAGGGGGATACATTTATCCCCCAATGAATATAGCAATCTTATATAGGTACAGAGAATTTGAAATAGCCTCAAATAATCTGCAGTTTCTGAATAGGTAAATTTATTTCTTTTTATATCCAGTATAGCTGATTCTCAAAAATCTACTCCTTTTCTAATACTCTGTAGTATTAGAAAAGGATTCAAAAGGCAGTAGGGGGACTGGGGTTGTAGCTTAGTATTAGAGCACTTGCCTAGCACATGTGAGGCACTGGGTTCAATCCTCAGCACCACATAAAAGTACATAAATAAAATAAAGGTAAAAAACTGAAAGAAAAAAAAAAAGCAGTGGGTAAGAACATGACCTTAACTTTGCTAGTACTGGGTTCCATACTACTTCCACTTTGTAATTTAAAAAAGTACTATTATCCTGTCCCCTGTCATTTATACCAGAAAAGTTATTTACTAAAACTGATGATTAAGAAAGAAGTTTCTTGCAGTTCATCTTTCAAATCCAGGCTTTGCCATATATTGGCTCGTGGTCTTGGACAAATAATTCAACTTTTCTGAACCTCAGGTATGTCTTCTGTAGAAGAAGGGCAATATCTATGTTATAGGAGCCATGTGAGGATTACAGTAATGTTTACAGGAGTCAATAAAAGACAGCTATTGTCATTTAAGAGTGTAAAAATCACTCATCCATCTGATAACCAAGATAAACTTGTGAAAATTTTTTTTTAGCTAAGTAGGCCACTCATTTTGATTTTCTCTGTTAATTTCCAGAAAAGAACTGAAGATTCCCTAGTGTCTAGGAGTACTCCTACAGCAGAACACATCTCTGTGTGTGCCTGTGGTAACAACCGGACTCCACCTGGGCTGAGCTCTTGGGTGCTGTGTGGATCCATGTGCAGCTGCTATTCACTCTAAAGAGGGTGAAGGAGTCAACAGAGAGATACATGCTGAGAACAGTTCTCCTCTAGCTGCCCTTCTTCTTCAGCACTGGGGATATTCTCTTCTCCCTCTCCCATTTCCACTGTTGGCTACCCTGGGGTAAAGTCCTTACTAAGTTCCTGGAGGAGGAAGTGGAACGTGGGAAGAGGATTGGTGGGAGAGAGGAAAAAGAAATAGAAAAAGGATTTAGTCCTGTCATCTGAAACCAGTGACCAGCAGAGCCCTTTCCTACTTAACAGGGTGGTAGAGTTAAGCATTCTGAATAGCCTTCAAACAAGTAAAGAGGGAAGACATCTGAGTTACTAATTTTAAGAGTACAGACTGTGAGCCTAGGTTAGGCACTAGACTTCAATAAAACAAGCATTAGCTCTAAAATAATCATGATGGAAATTCCCTGAAAGAGGCAGGCAGTGCCTGCCAAGCTTACAATCCTGATTTTGCCATTTATAGTTGTGTGATTTTTTTTACTGGTTACTTAACCTTTCTGGGCATCAATTTTCCCATCTTTAAGGGAGAAATGATGATAACACTGTCTACCTCATAAACCACCATGACAGTTTGATAAGATCATATACTTATGTGTTTATAATAGCATCTGGTACCAAGAAAGTTTAAAATTGTTATTTATTACTATTACAAGATCTTTATTAATCTTTCAATTCATATATAATGTCAAGCCAAACTCTTGACTCCTGTTTGGCAACTTCCTGGTCCACCCAATTCAAATTCTTGCTAGTTCTTTTCATAAACTTGTGAAATTCTCATGAATGATCCTCTGAGGAGGGAGTTATTTACCCTGTTACAAATTCTTATGATGCTGTCTGAAAGAGATCCACTCCTAGAGCCTAGAAAATGGAAGAATCTTGTACAAATGAATAGTTTGGGATTTTAGTGACTGTCGTACAGGGAGAAAGTTAATTGAATAGAATGACTCTTCAATTTTATATTGGAAAAGCACATTTTCTTCACAGAGTATAGTTTTTTTTTTAATAACCAGCTCTACTAAAGTGCTAAAAGCCCATGCTAGATAGGACTAAAAAGATAATAGTTGCAACAGATGTATTTAATTTATAATGAAAAAAATTAGACTATCTACTTGAAATTTGTTCTAATCACCTCGGTTTTAGAGAGTTGCCGGTCATTGTCTGTGTCTATTTGTTTAAATGTTTCAATGCTCCGTGGTCCTTTGGTCACAGCATAAAGTTCAATCTCAAAAATCAGCGTTGCATCAGGTGGAATCTTGCCATCTGCTAAGAGTACAAATTTTAACAGTGTGATTTATATGTTTCAAGTATTTATTCTTGTCATAATAGTATTATGATTACATTATTTCACATTTAGGAGAACTGATTTCTAAATGCCATTGAATTTTTTTCTTAAAATGTTTTAGCCTTTAAATTTTTTTTTTCTTTTTTTGTGGTTCTTTCTTTTTTTCTTCTCACAGTGATAGGGATTCAACCCAAGGCTTCATACACACTAGGCAAGCATTCTGCCACTGAGTTACATCTTTAGCCCTTTTGCTTTTTTTTTTAATCAATTTTTTCCATCTGTTTTTAAACCAAATCAGTTCAAAGGAATTACAGAACCACTATTTCCTAATTAAAATAAACATAAATTTTATGATTATTAGAGAAGAAATGTATGAGCTGTAAAATTAAAATTTCCAAGTATAGATGAGTAATCTCTTAGAAAAAGTTTCAAGCAGCTACTTGGAAGCATAAATAAATCATAAGTAATAATATATCTGTTTTTCAAATTATAGACATTAAATTATGATTTTTTTTTTTACTGGTTACTTAACCTTTCTGGGCATCAATTTTCCCATCTTTAAGGGAGAAATGATGATAACACTGTCTACCTCATAAACCACCATGACAGTTTGATAAGATCACATACTTATATGTGTTTATAATAGCATCTGGTACCAAGAAAGTGTGAAAAATGTTATTTATTACTATTACAAGATCTTTATTAATCTTTTAATCTTTCTGATAACAGAAAAAGTCCAGGAATAATTTTACAAAGAAATTTCTAATCATAATAAAAAAGTTTTTAAGTATACAATTGAGTAATTCTTACTAATAGTTAACCGGTTAGCTAAAGTCAGATAATTTTAGTAAGCTATGCTCTGTTTCAGATAAGCATTTCACAAAAATGACTTGCCAAAATGATTTGCTTGGAGGCAGTGGGTAGCTTATATATTCCCAGGGTCTCAAACAGTGCCTGATCGACTATAGGTGTTCAAATTTCTGCTGAATACATGACCCATGTTTATTTTGAAAGTGACCAAATTTGTTCTTTAAAAGGAACAGCAATTCTTTTTAATGAATAAGCAGAGAATTCTTGTTAAAATATTTAAACAATCCAAGTAGAAAAGGGTTTGCAACTTAAAGGCAAAAGAGGCAGTATACCGGTAGTTTCCAAAACCAGGACAAAGAAAAATCTACCCATGCATTACATTGACTAACATGTAAGTCCTAATTAGTGAATTAGTGCACCACATATTACCTGACTTTAAAGAGCTGGAGCTTGATTCAATATCCTTTTTATAAAACCGATTCTCATTCTGTCCAGTTATAATCACCTTAAGACAGAAAAATGATTTCTTTTTTTAAAATTATTTTTTCTAGTTGTAGATGGACAACTACAATAAAGATATTTATCTTTATTTTTATGTGGTGCTGAGGATCGAACCCAGGGCCTCACGTGTGAGAGGCAAGCGCTCTACCACTGAGCTACAACCCCAGCCCCAGAAAAAATAATTTCTGATGGTAATTAAAGACAAACCCCAAACAGAGATTCCTTTTTTAGGTGCTTGGGATGGAACACAGGGTCTCACACATGCTATCTAGTCAAGTGCTCTACCACTGAGCTACACCTCTGGAACAAATTCAAATTTCTGAAAGAAAAAAATATCACTGATATAAATGAAGTTTGTATCATAATTCTACTGTGAACATATAAAATGTTGCCAATTAGTTCCTTTTTTTCTCAAAAAAACCTTAAAGTATGATAAAGAGAAAAATACGCACTTACTACAGCATTGCTACTTAGAGAAGCAGACCAAAGAAGTGGGAGTTAATGTAAAGAATCTATACATACCACATATATCGTTAGTTAAAGCACTAAAAAGTCACATGCATTTCAAGACATGCAGGGGTGCTCTGTGACATGAGACAAGGACATTTCGCAGAGGAAAGACTTCTTCAAGTATCACCTAAAATAAAGTTATAGCTACTGTTAGGTCTTAATAACAACTTACTTTTAAAAAGTTTACTTAATCAAGAAGGTTGTTTTTATAAACCCATGCTAACTCTATTCAGTTGCAATCATCATAAGACAGAAAAACAACTTCTCCTGATAATTAAGGACAAATTAAAAACACAAATTTCCTTTTACTTAAGATCTACACTGCAACTTTTAAAAAAATATAATCTAAGCTATTGTAATTCAGGTAAGGCTAGCAGTTAACTATGTTCCAGTGAACACATTTTTTCAGGGCCTCAGTTTCCTTAGAGGTACAATGAAGGTGCTGGTGGTATTATTAGTGAGTGTCACCATTTTTCTATTAGAGACACCTCAAACTGAATATGAACTAATTTCTTGAAATCAAACTTCTACATAATATAGCAAGTGTCTTAATAGCTTAGGCAACTTGGGTAGTCATTCATATCTAAGCATAAATTAGTTTATGAAAAATAAGTGATCATTTGCCTGAGAACAATGGATTCAGGACTGGCACCTGTTGATAAGGGATATAGGTGTTCTAGGCAGATAGAAGAGTGGGTGCTATGGGAGGAGGCAGAATATGCAGGCATCTGATGAGACAACATAAGAAAGAAAGGGAAACTCTAAAAATGAAACAAAAGATTCTAAGAAGTAAACTGCCTACCATCATTTAATCTAGAAAATGGGCTCAACTTTATGACAACAGTTTTAGGACAGTATTAAATTTAACCTATCTTCCATTTTCTTTCTCTCCTAGATTATACAAATAAAAATTGAGATATACAAGTTTTGGCGCAATGGGAGTTTTTTTTTTTTTTTAATCCCTCCCTCCCCCAGCCCCCTGGCTTTCTTGCAGAGCTGGGGATAAAACCCAGGACCTTGAGCATGCTAGCAATTGCTCTACAACTGAGCTACTGAATCCCCAGCCCTGAGAGGTTTTTTTTTTTTTTAAATTTTTACAGAACCCTAAAGAGAGAAATAGAAGAAGATCTTAGAAGATGGAAAAATATACCCTGTTCATGGATAGGCAGAACTAACATCATCAAAATGGCGATATTACCAAAAGTTCTCTATAGGTTTAATGCAATGCCAATCAAAATCCCAATGGCATTTCTTGTAGAAATAGAGAAAGCAATCATGAAATTCATATGGAAAAATAAAAGACCCAGAATAGCAAAAACAATGCTAAGCAAGAAGTGTGAATCAGGCGGTATAGCGATACCAGACTTCAAACTATACTACAGAGCAATAGTAACAAAAACAGCATGGTACTGGTACCAAAACAGGCGTGTGGACCAATGGTACAGAATAGAGGACACAGAAACCAATCCACAAAACTACAACTATCTTATATTTGATAAAGGGGCTAAAAGCATGCAATGGAGGAAGGATAGCATCTTCAACAAATGGTGCTGGGAAAACTGGAAATCCATATGCAACAAAATGAAACTGAATCCCTTTCTCTCGCCATGCACAAAAGTGAATTCAAAATGGATCAAGGAACTTGATATCAAATCAGAGACGCGCCGTCTGATAGAAGAAAAAGTTGGCTACGATCTACAGTCGGTGGGGTCGGGCTCCAAATTCCTCAATAGGACACCCATAGCACAAAAGTTAATAACTAGAATCAACAAATGGGACTTACTCAAACTAAGAAGTTTTCTCTCAGCAAAAGAAACAATAAGAGAGGTAAATAGGGAGCCTACATCCTGGGAACAAATCTTTACTCCTCACACTTCAGATAGAGCCCTAATATCCAGAGTATACAAAGAACTCAAAAAATTAGACAATAAGAGAACAAACAACCCAATCAACAAATGGGCCAAGGACCTGAACAGACACTTCACAGAGGAGGACATACAGTCAATCAACAAGTACATGAAAAAATGCTCAACATCTCTAGCTGTCAGAGAAATGCAAATCAAAACCACCCTAAGATACCATCTCACTCCAGTAAGATTGGCAGCCATTAGGAAGTCAAACAACAACAAGTGCTGGCGAGGATGTGGGGAAAAGGGTACACTTGTACATTGCTGGTGGGACTGCAGATTGGTGCAGCCAATTTGGAAAGCAGTATGGAGATTTCTTGGAAAGCTGGGAATGGAGCCACCATTTGACCCAGCTATTCCCCTTCTTGGTCTATTCCCTAAAGACCTAAAAAGAGCATGCTACAGGGACACTGCTATATCGATGTTCATAGCAGCACAGTTCACAATAGCAAGACTGTGGAACCAACCTAGATGCCCTTCAATAGACGAATGGATAAAAAAAATGTGGCATTTATACACAATGGAGTATTACTCTGCATTAAAAAATGACAAAATCATAGAATTTACAGGGAAATGGATGGCATTAGAGCAGATTATGCTAAGTGAAGCTAGCCAATCCCTAAAAAACAAATGCCAAATGTCTTCTTTGATATAAGGAAAGTAACTAAGAACAGAGTAGGGACGAAGAACAGGAGAAGAAGATTAACATTTAACAGGGATGAGAGGTGGGAGGGAAAGGGAGAGAGAAGGTAAATTGCACGGTAATGGAAGGAGACCCTCAGGGTTATACAGTGGAGGGGGTAGAGAGAGAGGAGGGGAGGGGAGGGGAGAGGTGGGGAGGGGGGAGGGTGGATGATGGGAAAGGCAGCGGAGCACAACAGACACTAGTATGGCAATTTGTAAATCAATGGATGTGTAACTGATGTGAATCTGCAATCTGTGTATGGGGTGAAGGTGGGAGTTCATAACCCACTAGAATCAAAGTGTGGAATATGATATGTCAAGAAATTTGTAATGTTTTGAACAACCCACAATAAAAAATTAAAAAAAAAAAAAAAAAAATTATTATTTTTTCTTATACCAGGGATTGAACCTGGAGGCACTTAACCACTGAAACCCATACCCAGTCCTTCTTATCTTTTATTTTGAGACAGGGTCTCACCAAGTTGCTAAGGCTGGCTTTGAACTTGTGATCCTCCTGCCTCAGCCTCTGGAAGCACTGGGATTATAGGCATGTGCTACCAAGCCTGACCCCAGGAGCTATTTAGATGGAACTAAAAAACTGGTCAAAAAGCACTAAATATGAAGCTGTTGTTTCCTAGAACCACTTCCCTAGGTCTGACTGGGCTTGTGGCACTGATTTCCCTCAATCTAATTTGGGACCCCTGCTCTGGCTAGAAAGAAAAGGTTTGGGAATCACTACTTTTTTTTTTTTTTTTCTGAGAAGAAATCTTCTCACCCTTGACTCTTAGTCCTCTTTCCCCAACACTTAAGGTCATCAGATAATTGTCTGTCTTTCCAGATATAGTCTGTGAAGATATATGCATAGGTGAAATTCCCATGCTATAATGTAAGCTCTTTAAGGCTAGCAAGTAGTGTCTACTTTTTGCCCGGTGCCCAGTGCCTAAGAGAGCCTGAGATAGATGATTAATAAATATTTGTTGTGGGGCTGGGGTTGTAGCTCAGTAGTAGAAGGCTTGCCTTGCACACGTGAGACACTGAGTTTGATCCTCATCACCACATAAAATAAATAAATTAGTAAAACAAAGGTATTGGGTCCATGTTCAACTAAAAAAAAAATTAAAATAAATAAATATTTGTTGCAAGCTGGGCGTGGTGGCACATGCCTATAATTCCAGCAGCTTGGGAGGCTGAGGCAGGGGGATCATGAGTTCAAAGCCATCCTCAGCAAAAGCTAGGTGCTAAACAACTCAGTGAGACCCTGTCTCTAAATAAAATACAAAAAAGGACTGGAGATGTGGCTCAGTGGTTGAGTGCCTCTGAGTTCAATCTCCAGTACTCCACACCAAAAAAGAAAAAGAAAAAATTGTTGCAGGAATGTAATCTATCCCACTTTATTTTTAACATATTAACACACACATATAGCTCTACACCATTCTTTTTACTGGCTATAGATTAATTCACTGTATAGATACACCATAATTTATTTAACTAATCACTGAGCGATAGATACTCAGGCAGTTTTCCATCTTTTGCTAGAATCTGCAATGAATGTTTCTTTACATGTATCTTTGTGCACATTCCCAGTAACAGAATTAATGGGTCAGAAGATATGCATATTTTTCCTTTTGATGAAATTGTTAGGCTGAATGGTTGGCATTCCCAGCAATAATGCAAGAGATGGCTCATTCTTCCATGCTCTTGCCAACTTTATCTTTGCTACTCTGATGGGTAAAAAAATGGTGTCAATTTCCCTTTCTTTATAAATAAAATTAAGTACTCTCATAGATTAAAAGGCTATTTGTATTTTTTTTTAAGTGAACCATTTGTTTATAAATTTGGCTCATTTAGAGGTAGGTCATTCATATGTGCTGCATTTTCCCCATTTATCTGCTTTATCTAGGGTTTGTGGAACTTCTTGCTATAGAATTCATTCCCTGTAGGTTTCAAGGCCTATCTTGTATTGGGTTAACAGTGATTGAGCTTATTATATCTCAAGTATTCCTTTTGCAATGCTGTTCTTTAAAATCATGTTCTGGCTTCCTGTTTTATTAATTTAACTTTTGCTTACCAAGATCTATGTTTTTATAAATATTCATGTAACAATACTATAATGATACCCAAAACAGAAATGTCCAAACTAGAGTTTATAGACTATGCAAAATCATTATGAGTGCTGCTGCTATATAAAGGAAAGAACTCTGGCCAGAGACCTATATTCCAACAATGTCTTATTTTCTTTGTAAGTATAAAGAACTGAACTGATTTAGAGATAGCTAGAGTTTGTTGAACCCTATGTTTCTGTGATTATTTTTTCCATTACTTTTTTTGTTTGTTTTTAATTGTGGTAAAATATATATTAATCATTTTAAAGCACACTGTTTAGTAAGGCACAATCATATTGCTATGCAAACAATTTCCAAAACTTCTTGGCAAAACTGAAATTCTGTACCTATTTAATACCTCTCCCTTTCACTCTCCCTCCAGTCCCTGGAAAACACTTTTCTACTTTGTCTCTATGAATTTGACTACTCTAGATACCTCACATAAATGGAATCACACAGTGTTTTCTTTTTGTGTCTGGCTTATTTCACTTAGCATAATGCCCTATCTACTTTGTAGCATTGGTCAGAACTCCCTTCCATTTTAAGACTGAATAACATTCCACTGTATGAATATACCATATTTTGTTTATACACTCTTTGGTGAACACTAGTGTTGCTTCTGCCTTTAGTTATTGTGAATAATGCTACTGTGAATCATACATGGACATACAAAATTTCTATACTCTGTTTTCAATTCTTTTGGATATACACACAAAAATCTATGATTTATTTTCAAATATAACTGAAAAGAAAAATAAATATTACAACTTACCATATCCTTCCTTTCCATATGCAAATGAAGGGGGTATAATCACTTTTCGCTTCTCTCCAGGGCACATATCCATCATAGCAATGTCTAGGCCTTTTATGACTTGTCCAACACCAAGAACAAACCATTTGGGGTGACCTTCATTTTGTGTCCGGCTATAATAAAAAATTATCTTAGGTAAGCTGATTTCAAGAAGCCAAACTTCAAATTACAGGTGGGTGTTTAGTTATAATTTAAAATTAGAATATCTTTTCCCATACTAGCACCCTTTTTGAACCCCCAATGGGATATTTGGCTCAAACTTGCCTAAAATTGGTAGAAAGAGGTATGATTTGCTCAAAGCTAATCATTAGGAGTCATCTTAATTTCTTTTTTATTCTGATCGCTACAGAAACAGTTCACTTTTTAGTGGTTCTCCAGCCTCTAACTTGCTGTGTGGTTTATACATATAACTCATTTAACTTATCTGGGTTTGTTCTAAAAAAAAAGATGGAGTGGGTTTAGTCTCAAAAAGCCATTTTAATGGTAATTTAAAATAGTGTGTGTATATATATATATATATATATATATATATATATATATGTACTGGAGACTGAACCCAGGGGTGCTTAACCTCTGAACCACATCCTTAGCCCTTTTTTGTATTTTATTTAGAGACAGGGGCTCCTGAGTTGCTGAGGCTGGCTTTGAATTTGAGATCTTCCTGTCTCAGCCTCCCTCACTGCTAGCCTTATAGGGTGTACCACAGCCTTAGCCTACATGTCTCTCTTTTCTTCTAAATAAGAAGAATTTACTTTCCCCCAATCTTATCTTTATAGGATAATAGCATTTGGACTCAGAATAATATACTGTTTATTAAATCAGACTAAGCAGTAGGTGGGATGAGAGTGGGACAGAGGGCCCAGCAGAAAACACCAGGCAAGTCATTGTTGTGGTCGTAGTGAGAAACCACACCCCACACTCCAGCTTCAGGGATGGAATAAAATTTTTTTAGCTATCATCCAATGTGATTCTTAGTAAAGACGCTTCAATTCAGGGAAATTATGAATGCTATCATAGGTGATCTCTTGATTTAGTCCTAAGGATAGTGGTGGTAGTTAGAGATGTGTGGGGGTGTAGTGTACTTTTATCAGAAACTAAGCCATCATTTTCAACAACTAAAATATATTCAGTTTACTAGAGAACTACTGACATCTGATTTTTTTAAATGACGAAATGACCAAGTGTGGTGGTGCACGCCTGTAATCCCAGCGGCTGGGGAAGCTGATGCAGGAGGATCACAAGTTCAAAGCCAGCCTCAGCTACTTAGTGAGCCCCTGTCTCAAAATAAAAGGGCTAGGGTTGTGCTCAGTGGTTAAGTACCTCTGGGTTCACTCCCTAGTACCAAAAAGAAAAACAACAACATCAATAACAAAAACAAATAAATGGTTCAACTTACTTTAAACAGAAACAAAACAACCAAATAATTAGCCTTTTGGTTGGTGGAAGGAGGTAAGATTTGGTGTATCAGTTGGACATGGGGACAGTTTGCGGCATTTCTTACCTGCAGTAGAATTTCGAGCCATCTTTAGCCAAGTAGCCATCGTAATGGGCATTAAGCAGGTCTCCCTTCTTGCTTGTCTTAGAGCAGTTTTCGGGACGATGCAAAATTTCTATTTTCACTTCCTCTGGGCTCTCTTCTTTCTTTAGTCCCTGAGCAGTAATAAAGCCCCACAGGTAAAAGAAAACAACTAATCTGGATAAGAAATGCATGATTCCTGGAACAGGCCCCACGATACCACCGCGTTCCCCACCGCGTGTCTTTCGCTTTGGGTGGCTCTTCCCAGGGCAGAATTCCGACGCGTGGCAGGCATTGTCATACGTCATAAAGAGCCTGGGCGGGGCTTCTAGATGCCCCGCCCCCAGCCGCGCGCAACAACTGTAGTTTTCGTGGGGTGTGGGATCTGACGCGTGTCTGTGATAATGGGTTCTTGGGCTGGCTGTCCTCTGTTGCTAAGGTGTCGCAACCTCGCACGCTTGTCCTCGAGAAGTCCGCGTGTTTTAGAGCCGGTTTCCTCCAGATTCAGTAGTAACACTCCCGTTTCCTAAAATAAAACTGTGTAAAAGACGAGATGAACAGTCTGCGGTGGGATGTTTTAGAACCAGAGAATATAATCGTTATTTCTGGTGCAAAAGGCTTATAAGACCCATAGGGAACTAGCGGGAATGGAGGGGGGGGACAGGTATTCTGGAAAAAAGACGGTAAGGCTTGCGGTTGCTGAGTGCTTCTGGAGAGTCCTTAAAGTTCTTTCTTGGGGTCGGAGTCATGCATTAAAGAGTTCCAGACCGCGTCAGCCATACACAGCCTGACAGTTACCTGAACTGGTCAAATAGCCACGTCGCTGTACTCAGCGATTTGTAACCCGCCACTGCCTTTCGTTTCCGTCTGCCACCACTCCGGGCCACCCTTGACTTGAGGGACTCTAGTATTGCGGGAAAAGCTCTTGACCTTTTTTTCCCCTGCTAACTCTGTGACATCAGATTTATCCACATCAGATGAGGAGACTTGAATACCGGGCATTTTGGTCCAATCTCGCAGCTAATATGCAGCAAAGATTAGGCCAATTCTGTTTGATGCAACCCCCTTCCCTCATTTCAGTATGAAAACCTTCCAAACATAGAAAAGTAGGAATTTGCAGTGAATACCCTATACCCACCAACTAGATTCTATCATTAATGTTGAACTGTTTTCGATTTACTACATATCCATCTCTCCACCAATTCACCTTATTTCCAAGTGAAAGTCCAGACTACCCCAAACTAGAAAGCTTTCAGAAAGGCCTGGATTAACTTTTGGGAAGAGACATATTATTCTATCTCAATGATGCTATAAGTCTCAGCACTGAGGCTACTTTATGTGATTGCTTAGAGGGTGGTGACCCTCATAGCGAATTAGAGTTTGCAAAATTCTATAATTCTGAAAATTACTGTCAATTATGCGAAGTGACAATCATTACCAACCAAGATTAAAAAAAAAAAAACCATAAAAGCTAGAAGAGGTGGGCATTGTGACACAGGCCTATTAACTGAGGCAGGAGGATTGCAAATTCAAGGGCAGTCTTGGGAATTTATAAAGACTCTATCTCAAGACAGAATAAAAAGGGATGAGGATGTTGTTCTGTGGTAATTACCTAGCGTGCTTGAAGGCCTTAGCTTAATTCCTAGTACTACACACAAACACACAAGTTAGGAGAAAGCCTCTATTAATACAATTTCAAAATTTGCAGAAAACCCCTATTTTTCAAATACAATTTCAAAGTTTAGAGAAAGCCCCCCCCCCATTGCAATTTCAAAGTTTAGTTCCACGTTTTATATTCTAGATAAAATCCTGGCTCTCCAAGGTTATTTATTGGGATGATGGCAATTTCTTGTCTGAGGACCCCATCACAGCTGTAATTTTACCTTCCTAGAAGAGAATTTCTCGGACACCCTGAGTGTGAGAAGAATATGAAGCCCACACAAGCCTTTTATTTTCTTAAAATCAAACAAATAAAAATCACCAAAGGACCTTAGGCTACCCTACAGGAACACTCTTAATAGGAGAGGCCTATGTCACTGTCCCCGAGACTAATGCACCGGAGCTCGTGCTCAGACAGAGCAGGGTTGAGCGCGGCAGGGCCCAAGTGAAGGAAGACTGCGGAGCCGCAGGGCGTGGGCGGAGAAGGAGGAGGCCAGACTTGCGCCACACCCGCGCGGGCTGCTTGCGCCGCCTCCGGCACAGCGGCGGGGCGGCAGGCCGCGCCCGCTCCTGCAGCCCCGCCGCGGGGGAGGGGTTTCCCGGGACGGGCCGGCCCCTTTCATCCAGGAAGTGAAAGCGACGTCGGGGTCAATGAAAACAAACGGGGAACCCGGGGGAAGGAAGGCGGGCGAGGAGGAGGGAGCGCCGGGGCGCGGAAGAGAGCCACCGGGCCGCGGAAGTGCGAGCGGGAGGGCGGCCGCGGTAGCCTTTTTACCGTTGCCACGGTCGCCGCCACCGAGGCTCGCCCGGGATGTCTGAGCGCGCGACTCGCGGCCCCGGAGCACCACGCGGCACCCGCCGTCCTGGCCTCTAAGCCGCCACGTCCCGGCGGCGCGCGCGGGCTGAGGGCGGCTTAGGACCGGCGAGGACCAGGGAGGGGGCCGGGGCGCCCGGGAGGGGCGGCTGCCCCAGGCCCGGTGCCTATCCCCATCTGCGCGGCCGGCGCCTGGCCAGGAGGATGCGCGGCGCCGGGCTCTGAAGCATGGAGGGGGTTCTGTACAAGTGGACCAACTATCTCACAGGTATCGGGGCTCCCATGGTCCAGGGTCAGCGGGGAGAGGATGAAGGGTTGGGCAGGCTTAGGCTGTGGAGATGGTGGATCAGGGGCCCCCTCTCTGCCTGGAGGGTGGTGACCCTCATAGCGAATTCAAAGCTTAATCCCCCTCTGGGTCCCTCTCGGAGTCTATTTGGCCTCCGCCGAGGAGAGTTCGAGACTGCGCACCTTCCTGAGGATGGGACATGCACCAGACCACTTCTTTGCTGTGTGTAGTAATAGTTCTGATTGCCCCCTGTAGCTTCCGGAACTATTCTCAGTCACCCCCCATGTGTGTTGCATTCTCAGCCCTTGTTCACACTTAATAGTCAGTGGTTTGTTAATAACTGAGTTGTCCGGGGTATTGGACAGGATTGGACTCTTAGGATCAAGATTTAATTTTAAGAGATGTTTTCAATATTCCTTTTAACCTCCTGAACAACACTATTGATTTTAGAAGTTCACTTGTTGAACTTAGCAAGCATGGTTTTGGAATCTGTCCCCAGGTATTTTTCTTTTAAGGGTTGGTTTTCAACGAAGTATCCGAACGTTTGGGAATTCAGGTAACTGAGAAATAGTGCAAGGAAGTGCAATACACAGAAATGGAGCAGGCTTATCAGATTCATCCATGAGATGGGTTGGAAGGCAGAACTACATACTGTTAGTAGCTTCTGTGGAAAGGGCCACTTTCCATGATAATGAAGGCTATTAAGAGCTCTTAAGTCTGAATTGTAGTGCAGTCTCTACTATCAATCAGCGCTAAATTAGGCAAATGGCTTGTTCTCTCAGGATCTCAGTCTTTTTGTAAGGCCTGTGTGATCAACAACTGGAAGTGTCTTCCAACTCCTGAGTTCTGTTATCTCACCAAATAAGAGGAAGGGGAATGTATTTAAAACATTGGAATAGTAAACAGATTTCTTGGTTAAACATAATGGCAAATATTGACTTGCTGCCCACTTACTCTGCCAAAGATATTGAACCCTTTAGTGATTATATGCTGTACTCAACTTGTGTTCACTGGACTTTGTGCAAAATCTGCATATACACACTATAAGGCATAGGTACTGAGCCATAGTTGTTCTTGGTTTTTGGTTAATTAGAACCTTAAAGCCAGATATACAGTAGCAGATACTTTAATAATTATGAATCACTGATGTTTTATTTCGTTCAAAATAAAAATTTATTTCCTTAACTATCATATTTTAACAGGAAACATTTAAAAAAACAAGGCACATTTAAAAACATTAAATTAAAAAACTTTTTGGTGACGCTGAGAAGTGAACTCAGGGCCTTCCACATGCTAAGCAAGTGTTTTACCACTGAGCTACACCCCTGACCCCAAGACAAATATTTTTTATTAAGTATTTTCATTTGGGTGGTTGTGAGAAGCACAGTTAGTGTTTGGTTGAGGTATCACATTAATGGTGAGTCAGTAGCTTCTATGCTTTGAGATGCAAGTGATTGCCTCATTGCAAATATTTGTAAGCACTGTGTCCTGGGAGTTCATGCCAGATGAACCATTTCTGAGTAGCCCAGAGCAATGGCAGTTACCAAGATGAGTCATAATTTAAGGTGAGGTTTCACTTGGAGTGAAATGTGGTCTTGGCAGTTTCCTCATATCCTTTGGTACTGAGTACCAGCTGTGTCTTAGGTTTTAGTCTTTGCAGAACATTTTAGGTAACTTCTAGTAAGCTATGTAGGGTTTGCTGAAATGAAATCTTTGGTTTGGAAGGATTCCATTTTTAAAATTTAAATCTGGCTCCCCCACATGCTGATTATTAGTTAGTTCATCTTGGGTCTGTAGGACAAGCAGCTGTCCATGCTAAGTGGTTTTTAAGGACTTCCTGTGTCCTTAAAATTTAAAATTAGTGTAATTTGGGAATCCTTTGTAGAATAAGAGTTTTGGTAATTAACTTTTGGTAGTTTGATATAAAAATACGTGTTTTGTTTTGTTTTTTTTAAAGAGGAATTTTTAAAAGGGAGTAATGTGTGGCTCTTTTCCACAGGTACAGTCCTATATTGTGTAAATGTTTATACAACAGGTTGGGTTGTTAAATATTTCTTCAAAAAAGGTATATAGTGATTATTAACAGACTTGGTTAGAATAATATATTCAACCATGGTCACCATTTGTGTTCCTACAAATTCGAAATGAATCATTTTACTAAAAAAAAAAAGAATTTTTTTTTTTTTTTTTGGTGTATGTATGTGTGTTACTAGGGCTCAAACCCAGGGCTTTTGGTAAACATACTGGACAAACACTGTACCACTGAGCTATATCTCCAGCCCATTTTGCTTTATTTAGAGACAAGGTCTTAATAAGTTGCCTAGGCTGGCCTTGAATTTGTAGGCCTCCTTCTTCAGCCTCCTGAGTTGCTGGCATTACAGAAGTGTACCACAGTGCCTGGCTTCAATATTTGTTTTAAATAGATATTGAACTGCAATAATCCACATTTGCAGAATCATACTTTGTCCTATAGGTACACTGGATCTATGGTGGAGGAATGTACTTTCATACTCTGCTTATAATTTGCTCACCAAGGTGAATTACTATTTGGAAATATGTTTTCA